AGCGTTCGAGCGTCAGTGCCCTACCCACTGCTTGTGAGTTCCTAGATCTCCTTATCCCTACCAACGCCTACAGTCACCTCCATGTGGTGCCCCCGTGGAGTCTGATGAGACGTGCGGACGACAGAGGTGGGGTTCATCGCCTCTACCCATATATATGTGAGATAGAGATGGTGAACCTGTTAGGCACCCAAGCTAGGTTTGGGAGTTTGAGCTGTGGCTGAATGGCTGAGGGTGGATAAAAATATACTGTCTCTTATCAACCCACTTGAGGAACCGAGCGACAGACCATTGCAAGTAATGCTTGCAGGGAGAGTGTACTAATGAGTAAGTGGAGGGAGGGGGGGTAGTACCTGCAATCCTGTTAGAACCCCATACTCGTGGGAACAAAATGTCCAAAAATAACTTAAATATTATTAAAAATAAATCAATGATATCCGAGGAGGACTTGTCCTCATTGGAAGTTTTGAATATATCAAAGGCCACCTCTGATACACTTGATGAATCTCTATCTAGTAGAGAAACTATTGAAGACCCTGACAGAGGATGTTGGCACACTCCCTGCACCTCACATGCCCAAACAGAGTGGAAGGAAGAGGAGGTTATAAAGCTGGCCAGTGCTATGGCACAGGCCCCAACAGAACTCATGGACTTAGAAGAGACGTACAAACCTGAACTAGGTATCACAGTAAATAGTCCCTCACAATCTAGACTCGACCAAACGGTAAGTGGGGACCACGAATATAAGGAATCAAGGCCTGCCACGCCGAGGATGAGCAAGAATGTGAAGAGGCGAAACAGGAGAAAGGCGAAAGCCCTTCAATTGTTAAACACTCCTGAAGAGGCCACCTGTAGAGCACTCTGCTAAGGAAGCAAGAGCCCCCAAAGGCCTGGCTGATGAGGCAGACCTGCCCGAGAGGGAGGCCTCTGATCAAGGACAGAAAACAAACATATTGGAGCCTACTCAAGGGCAAGTAGCAGAGGATGCAAGGGCTCCACAAGGGCTGGCAAAACGAAGCTGCTGTGTCATGTTGGAAGAAAAAGCTCCAATACCACAGACAGAGCAAGAGAATGTGACGCCCAAAAGGCCAGCATCTAAGTTTGCGAGGCCACACAACAAGACAGCAAGGCCTCAAAGGTGGAGACCAAGATCGAGACTGACTGTGGAGAAGCTTGCAAGGATATCCTTACAAACCTCAGCATCAGCTACTAAGAAACCAAAGGAAGCCGAAAAGCCTAAAACTATGCTAAGATCGCTATAGGACAGTTGGTAGCAGTGTTTCCTGTTAACTATCCGCAGATAGAATTTAGCTAGGACCAGTGCGAAGAATTAAAGTAAGCTATTGCTAGCAAGATTGACGGTTTACAAATTGGAAGACATTCACCCGAAGTCTGACGGAGCACTCTACAAATTTGGTGGATGTCTCATGTCTTGTCTGGACAATCATACAGTGGACTGGTTTAAGAACATCACACCAAGCATCATGATCTAAGAGGGTCTAACCAGACGAGCCTATGAACTAACGAAAAATCACCAGGATCGGAGCCCTCTTTCTAGGAAAGGCTCTGCCTGCTGAATATTAACTCAACCGGCTCCAGATACAAAATCAGTCAATAACTGGTATTAGTAACTGGACTATATTCAACTTTAAGCCTTTGGAAAAAGGATCCTTCAGAGTGTTCAACATAACGGAGACCAGCCTCCAGAGCCTCACAACACATGAAACGCAGGATTGTTGTGGCATCTACATCATTACATTCAGCACCAAGGCACCCCAGAGGAACTACAAGACCAAACACAAAGAGCTAGGAACTAAGGAATCCCCCTTTTCTAAAAGGAGTGCACCACGGTCGGGGTCTAGGCCTGTCGGCTGTGCCAGGAGGGGGGGCCAAGTCAAAAGATCCAGTGAAAACTGGATCCAGAAGTGAATCACTGCCACTTTCACGATCTTGGCCAGAACCCGGTTTCCCGGAACTCCTCAAAACCGGGTAAAGGATAGAAAATCGAGGTCGAGCGGTAGGGAGTAACCAAAAGACAAAATGAAAACTGAGTCTGAGAAAAGGAACCCTACCATCGGCTCCGTCTGGAAAACTACCCTCCCAGAAATAACATAACAAAGAAAAATAGTCACGAGTTTGAGTCCCGATGCCGGGGGAGATTTTTAAATTCCCAGCCACATCCCCTGGCCTGGGGAAACCCTGTATAGCCTTAAAGGCGAGGAAGGAGAGGGCATAGAAAAAAAAAAGTGTAGGTATGTCACAATCCATTTCCCGGGGCCGCCGAGAAATGAAAAGTAACTGACCCAGGTGGGAATAAAATCCACAACATTCAGAACTGGGCACTCTGGGACCCATGCCCCAACGTGCTCAGCCATCCCGTCCTCTACGTATAAATAACTAATTTGTATAAAATAAATTTGAAAGTTATTACCTCACAAAAACTGAAAGGGCATTGTTGACAAGTCCTTATTACTGTGCCTTTTGCAGAAGATATTTTTCCACACCATCTACAATTTACTTCTTTTCCTTTTTCATTCATCATAAAATTGATTGTTTTATACATGCAAACACATTGTTCACAAATTAAAACCCTTAAAACAGGGTGCTCCATGGAACTAGGATGCATTCTAACATCACAACCAACATGGTCAAGACAAATAGTACAATGTAATATCTCATTCAACACCTCATATAGATCTAAAACAAAAAATATTCTTAAAGCAAGGAAATAAAAAAAATGAATATATTATATAAATATTACGTTAAAAATATGGTAGAGATAAAACAAAACAATCATTTAATCATAAAGCATCAGACTTATATTTAGTTTTAAACTTACACAATTTACCTTCAAAATTTAAATCTAAATTGTAAAACATAGTTTAAATTTAAATTTATCTTAACTTCAGTCCATAACATATTCTATAAAAGAGATTATATCTTAATAAATCTTGTTTCATTGAATATCATTGAATAAAACAGTAAAGTGTAAATTTTTACAGTTTATTTTGAACACCTTCAAAGTAATTCTCATCGACTACAATTCACTTTTCCAATTTTTTTTGCCATTGTTCAAAACTGTTTTTAAATTCACTTACTCAGAAGTCCTTCAGCCCTTCCTTTAAGTTCAGAAAACAGAAAGAAGTCACTGGGGACCAGATCTGGTGAATAATGGGTTGTCATAATGTCTTTGATCAAAAACTGCTTCCAAGACAGTATGGTGTGGACAAGTGTGGTAAGATAATCAATCTCCTGTGTGCCAAAGATTCATCCTTTTCTTCTGTATATTCTTCCTTAATCTTCATATGGTACTCACAAACAAGGGCATTAATTTTTTCAACATTGTTGTCAGTTCTTGTAGTTGAGGGGTGTAAGAATGAGGTTGGTCTTTAACTGATAATTCTCCATTCTTTAGAAACGTTTGGGTATATATTATTAATTACAACTTATTCAGGACAAACATAAAGGATAATGGAATGCCTACTCATATCAAAATGATTCAAAGTGGGCCCTGACTCAATCTAACCTACATCCTCTTACTATTACCTACTACCTCTTAATTCAGAAAAATCTTCATTTATCTTTATTGTCAAGTGTCCTTATCATATCATAAATTAGTCCTCAATAAACTGTATCTTTTGAGATTTTAACCAATCTTCAACTCAAAAATTTCAATTAAAGTTCACCAGCTAATAATATTGTTCTCATTACTAACAATCTATCATTAGTTTTATATTTTTTTCTTTTTTAAAGGTGTATAACTTCAATAGTTATCATATTCTGTTGTCTGTGAATTCTGTGTATATGTATACATCTTTTCAATCTGCATTCATTAAAACTATTATTTTTCTCCTGTATTGTATGTCACTCGCTACATTTTCATCATGGTTAAAATTTTATACTTTTAAATATGGCATTAATTCGTTTTCAGTTATATTAAAGAATTTTCAAAGAGAATACTGTCTCTAACTCGCTGTACATATTCTTCTTGCAATCAGCAATCTTTAATAAGAAATCAAAAATGTCTCACCAACTCCAATAGAAGTACAGGCATCATTCACTGCAGAGAATACCACTTCAGAAGATGCAGAGACACTCTTATGCAACACAGTTGTTTAGTAGCATTCTTTTCTGGACTTTCATCGGACTCCAAATTAAAAGCACTCTTCAGAAGAAAAGGAGCCTATCTACTAGTCTATGCAATTCATAAATAGTAAAGCTACCTCCCAGACTTTTCCTTCTCACTAAGGATCATTGTACTATTTGGAGTAAGTTTTGATAATTTCATAGAAAAAATGTCAATTCCTAATAAATTAAAATTATTTTTAAATTACAATGATAAATCCTATTGACTCCAAGGTGACATATAAAACATGTAATTTCTGAACTGCACTTGCTAATGCTGCTAGCCATGCATGATCTAATAGATTGGAGAGCATCAACAGCCACTTTTTTTGTAATAAGCCAATAATATCATGATGTAAGCAAGATAGCTTAAGTGCCATCTATTTTTTTTCTTGGAATATTTCACCATGATGCTTGGAACTAAACATACAGTTCATTGAACGTTGATCAATGAGGTGACGTTAAAATGTTTTCAGGGGAGACCCTTCCTCTCCCAAAATAAATTATATAACCTACATCCTCTTACTATTACCTACTACCTCTTAATTCAGAAAAATCTTCATTTATCTTTATTGTCAAGTGTCCTTATCATATCATAAATTAGTCCTCAATAAACCAGAATATTCATCTTACACACCACAAAGTATATGATAGTAGTGTAATATTATTTATGGTTCAATTTAATGTTACACAGGTGGCAACTAATCTAATCACTTCATTTAAAGCTTGAACTTCATAATGCAACAGAGCAATAAACCAAAAATCTTGCTAACCATCTTTCCTCCTCACTTCTCCTCCTTTATACTAAGTGGCACTAAACAAACAAAACTAAATAAATTCACAAATTATTTATAAGATTAGTTTCAAAAGCAGCTTACTTGAATATTGAATTTTTCTATAAGCAATTTCAGCATGGGGTGGATTTGCTAGATTAGTGATATTGGTGGTAACCCAAAGAGTTGGCATATCATTAGGTTTGTCATTATAAACCACTGAGGGGCCAACAAATAAGGGATCAACTTCTACTTCCATTCTAGATACATTAGATGCCTTGTCCCGACCACAAGGAATTTCATCATCATCATCAATTATTATGCAATCTAAAATTTATGAACGAAAATATTAACAAAAACAAAGAAGTAAACGTTAAAATCACAACTTATAGATAAGAATACCATCATTAGCATCGATTTCTTCACCCATGGTCACTTCTAATAAAGAAAGAGGACTAACAACATCCATTACTCATTCAATACGTCTGTAAACAAATCGAAGATTTATAAATTTAAAATAAACATATCCACAGCTCTGAAAAACAAAATATTCTAATAACATGGGTATTGACATTCTTCAAACCCGGTATAACAGCACGTACTCAAAACTTTGTTAATTTACAAACACAAACTTGTAACCTCCACTATAAAGAAATTGAATTACTTTGATAATGACAATTGTATATATCTATACACTTTGAAAAAGTTTTACTGTATCAATTCGGTTACCTTATCTTTTAACTTTGCTTTGTAACTCAAAATTAAAAATAAAATAAAACACGAGTAAATATTCAACACGATTTTTCCATGACTTGGTTTTATTGGTTCTTGTGGCAGTGGAATGTATGTGCTGATGGCCATGGTTTGTGATCCATGATGAAGAAAAGAAATTCGCCATGTTCATTATCAGATGAGATATTGTGATATGGTGAAATTGTGGATTTTCTAAAAGTATTGTTAGTATCGTGGAGGTATCCAACATCTTTCAAGCTGGATAGATTACCTGAATATCTCCGCGATACCGTGGACTGGTTTATGGGGTATGTCAAACTTTGCTTTTAACTTCAAATTGATTTCCATTGCCAATCATATTATGTTATTAATAAACCAAAGAAAATGTATCCAAACGATGTAAAATGGACATTACGAAATTGTTATTACAATGAAGCATCCATAATTATTACCAGTGATAACTGATTTTTCTCAACTGTAACTTTAAATTCAATACAAATTCATTGTTAATTCTTGTCATTTTAGAAAAGCTCGTCGAAAGGACAAAGAATCATCGTCAGTAAGCTCTGAAGAACCCAAACTATACCTTGAAGAAGCAGTCTTAGAAAGAAAGTTACCTGAAATTGACCTTAGAGTATTGGTAGATCTACCTGCTGGCTTGGATTATAATGAATGGCTTGCTTCCCATAGTATGTTACATCCTGTGAATATTCAATATTATTACATTTATTAGTGTTGAATATTAACATTTATGTACTTTCAGCTATTGCGTTTTTTGACCATATAAACTTGGTCTATGGAACAATTTCAGAATTCTGCACTATGTCTGGATGCCCAGACATGACTGGTCCCCAATTGAGGTATGTACATTTACAAAATTATGTAACAATGGGTATTCATTAATACACTGTTTAAATATAATGAGCATTATCATTATTATTGTTAACTATCCAATTTATTTATGATCCTTCAAATTGTTTTTAAACTAATAGTGTTTAATTATTAATATCATTACTTTATGTTCAGTCATGTGTGAACTAGGCAAACTTTGATTACTTATTTTCACAGTCTAGCAAAATAATAAAATTACCACAAAATTTTACTTAGAAAAGGTATCTGAGGTAGATTATTGTACAGAAATTGATGACATTTCCAATTTGTTTTTTACAAGTGGCATTTATTGTAAGGTCTGAAGTGTACTGGTTTCAGTGCTTGCCTTAAGGTACTACTTCATTGGCGCTGCCCACAACCGTAACCACTTGTGGTTGACCGCTGCTTTAATGGAATAGAAATGAACCTATTTCGTTGGCGCTGCTCAGCAGTCTAGGTATGATGTGATATCTAAGCTGCTCCTATCTGGTCTCTTATGAAGCAGTGGAGCTGTTGGCGGTTCTAGGTTATGTTATCATATCAGAGCATTGTTTTGATGATAACAGTCACTTTGATATGTTTTGTTTCCTATATTTCTTTCAAGTCTGGCAAAATTATAAGAAATATTGTTTAAAACTTAAACAACGCAATAGTAAATTATTTTTTTAAGGTTGAAGTAACAAGATTATTTATTCCACCAACAGTATTTTACAATGAAATTCAAATATACCTAATTCCAAACGATATTAAATAAATCAAAGAATAAAAAAGCTGTAGTAAGAGACAGTAAGTCCTTTTTTTAATCTTCGAAGATAGAATGAAATGTTCGAAGGTTGTAGACAGGTTATAAGAATCCCAGTGAGCAGTTTCAGCGAAATAGCTACGTAACAGCAGTTGGCAGCGTTAAATAGCGGTCTCTGCCATGGGCAGAGCCAGCGAAATAGTACCTTACGACAGTACCCCTTGGCTATGACATCATTTCCCCTCAAAAAAATTAAATCTTTCTTAAACTGATTTATATATAGTAACATTTGAATCTTATTTCATTTAATATATATTTAATACTGTTAGTTCATCAGTAACCTAAAATTTAATATGCTCACATGTTATATAATATTTTTTTTAATCGTTAAAAGTGGTGGCCTCTCTGCAGGTTGCCTGTCCTTAAGGTTGGCACTGCCAGTTTCATGAATTAATGGTTATATTTCCGGAATGAGTATCACTTAATTTCGAATTCAGAAGCATTGAGTTGTAAACAATTTTATAGTCATTCAATGAGGTCCTGTCGTATACATTTTTATTTGCAACTGCCAAATCATTCAATATAGGTCTAAATTCATGCCTGAGGTTTAGAATTAGTTTCCATTTAATTTACTCAATTAAATCACCTTGATAGAATAAATAATGATTTTAATTTGGATCTCGATGTTTTTGAAAGCCAAAATTATAATTTTTAACCAAGTATATAATTTGAACGAAATGTAACTTAATATTTTTATATATTAGATTTTTCTTAATAGAATATTGATTGAATTTGATACAGTACATGAGGTATAATTTAATTTTTTAAGTATTATAAATTGATAAATTAAAAGATTTTATTTTTGTGAAATTTTTTTTAAGGGTTAGTCATTTGACTGATGGTAGTTTCATTTTTATAATAATGCTGCTTATAGGTCACTATTGTAAAGTTGATTGTATTTTTACTTATCAGTCTAATTAAAGACAAGGGAAAATAAAAATATATTTAAAGTATCTGTTATAAATGTATTAATTCAGCAGTAAATTATGCCAAGATCATATCATTCACTGTACATGGAATGCTGAAACTAGCTGAGTTTGTCTAATAAAGGTATTTAAAGAAAACTGAAGACCAAACTTTCAATTAAATAAGTATAAGTAATAGCATGGACTAACTCATCCATAATGTTGCCGAATATTGAGTAAGTGCGTGCATGCGTGTATATATCAATACTTTTTTTTCCAAAAAAAGGAAAGTTAAATATAGCTGGAGGAAAGGAAGTCGTCACACTGGTGTAGATATGAAAATGAGAATATTTCAAAACAAAATACCTGAAAAGTATTGATTTAATTTATTTTATTTTATATCTTAGCAATAAGACTTTTTGGTTTATTATAAATTATTTTTATAGGTTTTAGTCATTATTAACTTAACTTAGTTATTCTTAATTTTTTCTATTGGGAAATTTAATTCATTTTATTCTAGATCTTAAAATATCAAGTCTTTTTAATGATATATCTTAATATTTTAATAATTCATGTAATGATTTTCTTTCTCCCTTTTAATTTTTTTGTTATAAGAAATATATTGATGCTTAATAATGAAAGCCTCATGACTTCATTAGTATATTTCAACTACTCCAAATAGCTACTCCAGTCTCTGAGCACTTTATACAACGAAAAATTTGAAAATATATAGGTACCTCTTATCCAAAATAAGAAACGATGGTACTATATATTAAAAGTAATCGAGACTAATGAACTACTTTTTTAAATGTTACATGGTTTTTAAACTTTTATTTTTTCTATTGTAAAATATACCAAAATGGTGTTATGAGGTTTTCATTAATTCAAAAGTCTTAGTTTTTATTATTAACTTATTTAAGTTAGAAAGTAACATATAATTTTTAATATTACTATTTCATTACTCAACATTTCTTATTATGTATCTCTGAGGCTCCTTAGCCCACATTACTGTTCTTATGTATTATTCTAAAGGGACTTGTCCCAGAATAAATAAAGTATTATTATTACTATTGATATAAATACTTATTTGTTGCTATCAAATCTAAGAATGATTTACTATTAATTCTGCCTCCCTTCTTCCAAAGTTGAAAGACATGGAGGTCTGAAATCTTGATACTTTTTATTATATTTAATGACTATACCATTTGTATCTATATTATTATTGGTTAACTATAGCAAATATTAAAAATACTAAGGCATGATTTATCAATTTTTATTTTTAATATTTTCATACATTATAGCCAGAGTTTGTTTTAAATTCTAGTATAGTGTTTTTTATAGGAAAAAATTTTCAAATTGGCATAATGTAAAAAAAAAAAAAATTCAGATAATTATTTAGATATTTCAGATTTTAGAGTAAATATATTTTGAAAGTTACATAAGATTTGGTACAGTTTTTAATGAAAAATTTATCAACTATCACTGTTATTTATCAATTATTGCACACACATTTTCTTATGGAAACAGTTAAAATCAAACTTAGATAAATTGATCAACAATTAGAACAAATTAATATTAAGGATATAATTATATTAAGGAATGAACATATGATAAAAATGAAAAATTGTCAGAATGTGTACTAAAAAATTATGTTTATTTATTTTGCCGTTGTTTAAACCATCATATGAGGATCAACACTTCGGATTACTAAATAATTATTAATACATATCATGACCATTTTTGGTTCTTAAATATAATTAAATCAATGTATAATAAATAAAATTATACATTTTCTTAAAAATTTATGAAAGTGCAATGGTAGCTAGGAAGTAATGTGCCAAAATTGTTGACCAGTAGATTAATACTAAATGTTTTTTTTTATATATCACATCAGAAAATATTTATATATCTTCAAATAAAATTTATAAAATTATTATAAGTTTTAATATTTATTTTCAGAACTTATCTCTGGTTTGATGAAAAAGGAAAGAAGACACGAGTTGCTGCTCCACAATACATCGACTATGTTATGACCTTTACTCAAAAAACTATTACTGATGAAACAATATTTCCTACAAAATATGGTATAGTACCTTTGGTCTATAATTACTATTAGATGATGCAAAGGAGAAAATTGAAATTGATTTATTCATTTATGTATGAGGTAGTTGAGGAACCTATGGTAGTTAAGAAAGTAAGGTTCAAAATAAACGATATAATAATTGAAATAAAAAGCTAGATTATTAAGCAAAAAAATCTTTAGACATTTCTCCTAATTTTGTTATGCAGACAGTTAACTGCTTGATTTATTTTTGATTATTGATGAAGAAGGGGTCTCCAACCTAGTGTTCACATGATGTGAAATGTACCCATCTATCCTAACTTGTAACTGGTCACCATGGTTGCCTTACTGGATTCTACAGGATTAGTGTTCAACGATTTTTTTTAAACTATAATATCTAATAAATAATTAATTATAATTATAGTCATTGATGATATAGCATTTTTTTTTTAATACTAGCCGATCTTCATCATTCTTTTTCTCCATTTTTTTTTTTTTTTTTTTTGTTTAATATCGAAAAGTAAATAACAGAGATTTTAATTTTGCATTCAACTTATCTAAGCGTAAGTTAGGTTCTTGTTAGCCGGTCTCTTACTTAATCATTTTATTTGAGTTATTTAATACTGGCCAATTAAATTCAGTCCAAATATCTCACTATCTATAACATCTGATTTGAATATCATTTTTCAACAGAAATACATATTTTGATGTCTCCTGAGTCCAAATAACCAAGTCCCGCAAAATGGTGTGTGTGTGTGCGCGTGCGTGTGTGTTAAATTGATTAGAAGATCAGAACAGGCTTTCATATGTAACACAAGCATAATACAATACGGATTCTGACAATATTATGTACATATATGGTTTTCCTAAATGTTGTCATTGGTATTATTTAATATTTTATTGTATAGATTACAGAGTTACAAATATTAAAATTTGTATATATAAGGGTACTAAAAAAATAAAAATATCCACAATGAAATATAAATCAATATAGCATTTATAATTTTTACTTTCACTTCCCCTTTGTCTGGAAATACTTATTTCTGATAAGAAGAGGGTGGTGAAAGTGAAAGTTGTGTGATGCGCACCGCACCAGATTTTTTTATTATTATTATTAATAATTTGAAACAATGAAAAATCTACTGTAAACACAAAAAAAAATTGTGCCCCCCAAATAGTAAAGGATTGGAAACTGTTGGTTTATGGTCTCAAATTGTAACTAATGTGAAATAGATAATACACCATATTATTTTTAGAAGTTAAAGTCAAGAAGCTAAAATGCTTAAAAATAATGTGACTCCAATCCATTTCACCTTTAAGTAGTAATTTTAATTTAACACTTTCATTGCGAGCTTTATTTTTATTAAAATACATCACTTTTAGTTGCATGTGTCTTTAAAAAATTTATACTGATAACTTATAACCTTTTTTTTGTTTTCCCCTTCCTTGCGTTTTAGGCTACATGGGTTTTTCCCGTGCCGTGAGAGAAGACGAGGAAATTATGTTGAGTTAAAAAGTCCCACCCTGCACTGAGATCGAACTCGTAATTATTTTTCCATCTCGAACTTCGGTTATCAGGTTGTGGCGGGCAAGTTTATATTGAACTTGAACTTTTTCCTTACGATAATTTGTTGATGAAATTATTTTAAAACTTTTATCCAAATAACGTGTTTGATAAATGTTCTCTGCAAACAGTTATTCTGTATCTTATTCATAAAAAGTTTTTAGGCCAAAAAAAAAAGTAATTTCAGAAATACATTTTTTATATATTTTATGCAATTATATTTAATCTAAATATATGGGTTTTTAAATTTGTTAAAAAAATTACCTTTAATAATTCTTTCACAATAGTTGCATATATTTTCATTGGGTGATACCATGTATTTGAAAAAACTCTGAATGAATCTGTCTTTTTTACACACCATCGTAATTTACATTGAACTGTTTACTCACAAGAAATAGCTAAAAATAAAACAAAGCGTTCTGAAAAGAGGTGATAATTACTGGACTTGTTTTGATTTGAGAAGAATGAAATGATAGATAGGGACAATATCCCTATAAATAATCCTATAAAAATAAACTCCAGTATGTGTAAACATTCACTCATTCATTTCCTATTATAACAACTTATGTAATCTCAACTAAGAGAAAAAAATTTGTTAAACTCACACTTTAATTTTAGTTGTCCAAAAAGTTTGGGTGAACCTTGAACTTTTTAAAGAAAATTTGTTATTAAGGTATAAGAATAACTTTTTATTGCCCGTAACTTTTTCTTAATAAATTTGTTAAATACTTTTAAAATCAAACTTATTTAAAAGTGGTTTATGACTCTTTTGACCCCTGTAAAACTATTTATGATAACAATTTGAAATTTTATATACAGAAATCAAAGTATTAAAATATATATCATAAAAAGTAATGGAATATAAATTTAAATTATGCCATCTACCTATATCTATATGTACATATATGGAAATTATTTGCATATACAAATTTCCTATAATGTTTTAAAAATAATCCATTAATAATCAGAAATGATATATTTCTCTTGTATCTTATCCTCGGCTCACTGGCTAGCATATCTAGGGGGAAAAAATTACTTATATGAAAAAATATTCAAATTCTTTTTTAAAAAATGCTTAGTTTCCTCTTTCTTCCACCAGCAGATGTTGACAGAACCATTGATGCCATTTTGATATAAATGAGTAAGTTATTGGGAGTATCAATTTTTGAGTATCAATAAACGAAAAGCATGCCTTAAGTTCTTTAATTTTTTATTTATATATTATATTCTTTAATTTATCATATAATTTAATTTTATGTTGTTTCTCAATATATCTGCTAGAAAAATTCAACAAGTGATTGTGTTTAAATGTATTTAAAAATGAAATAAGTATACATTTTATTATAAATTAAACTTATCTTGAAACAACTTCATGGGGAAAATCTTTTAAAATTTACATAACAATTTCTAGACGGCTGATTTGAAAACATATATAAATTATATTGTAACATCTCTCTTATATTTTACAAATAATAATAATATAACTTCGGATGATCACTTAAATACTATTTGGATACTTCCTTAATAAATAAGAGGTTATTAAATAATAAACAAAATTATAAGAGTATTAATATATTAAACTGAAATTTACAATTATTCTATCTCAGATATGGGTTACTCAGACTTCACTGACTGGGGACAATCAGATCAACTCAGACACACTATTATTATTTACACTATTTATACTAAAATTAAACACTGATTTTAAAATAAAGTCAATATGAATTGGCAATCTAACCTTTTTTCTATATACACTGTTTCTTCCTTTGTTGTACTAAATTCATTTGTCTTCAAATGCTTTCCAATGTTCTGCCAAACACAACTTCCAAATTGGTGTCACTATCTTCTACTCAACTCAAGCTCTCTCTTCTAATTCTAAACAACTAGTCTCTCTGCCAAGCAACTTCCAAGGTTGTAATACTATTACTGGATCTTACCCACTGGAGCCGGGATCGCTTCTCCTATCCTTTCTTTACTGCAGCCACGCAACAACTGCTTGCCAAAACGAAAACCTTTGTCCCTCAGCTGTTAGGAAACTACAGTGCAGTCATTTTCTTTTCCTGCACTAGTAGAGCTAGATTAGCTTGCCTTTTAATTGTTCAACATTAATTTATTAAACCCTTTTTACTCACTTCCAATAAAGGTGTACATTAAAATATATATATATACTACTTATGTTATATTTGTTTTAATTGTCTCTTAATAACACGTCCGCTAATAGTTTTTTTTTTCCACAGCAAATGAATTTCCATCTTCATTTGAGTCAATCGTTCGAAAGATTCTCCGTCTTCTCTTTCATGTTATGGCCCATCTTTATCATACACATTTTCGTGAGGTTGTCCTTCTAAACCTACACGCTCACCTCAACTGCCTCTTCGCTCATTTAATTCTGTTTGATGAGCGATTTTCTCTCATAGATCCAGCAGAGACAGTTGTTTTATCAGACCTTGTTCAAGCTTTGAAAATACTCGGGCCAGAGTCAACTACTGCAACAACACAGAAGGATTCTTCAGATCAAGAAGAACCTCCACCTCAACAAGGAACTTCTTCGATCGGTCAATAGCTAGGCTGTGAAACTGTTAAATTATTTATTGTTCTGTTTAAATATAAAGGTCTCATGAGTATTGCACCAACTGAGACGTTTACTTTATCTTTTCATCATCTTTGCCGTAATTTTTATCACACTCTGCACTTTTATCTATCAATATAATATTTATTCATCTTATAGATTTTTAAATATTACTAGATGCATATTTATATGAAAAATATGTAAGTATTTTTTTAGAATGGTTCAATATATATATTATACAAAAATTTTAAAAATCATGACCCCCTTCCCCCTAAAAAAATATATATATAATAGACACATCTTCTAAACTCTAGTATTAAGTAAATCCATTAGTTTTTACTATGAAATGATGTGTTCATATTTTAATGATTATTGATATTGTTCTAGATGTTATATTAATTATATGAATGCTTTACGAAACATTTTTGAAATAATTTTTGTTCCTTAAAAATTAAATTAGATTAAAGGTTCCTTTTAAAAAATAATTATTGAACTATGAATACAAATTAGAGATGGATTTTAAATTACTTTTGTATTCTTTCTTCCTAGTTGGACTGCATCATTTTTTTTAAGTTACAAGAATATACTTTTAATTGTTTATTTCAACATATGATATTAATTGTAATAACATAGAAAGCTTTATTGTTATTCATTAGATCATTTGCTAAACATTTAGAATTATTTTTCCTATATGATAAAAAAATATATATAAATATCAGCATTCTTTCATGAAAACAATTAGTTCATTTTGCTAAATATGAATTAAGTGTGTTTGAAGCCATCTCTCTTTTGCTTATTATTTTATTTAGTTTTTTTTTTTCAAATATAAAGTTAATTTCCAATATAATATATGAACCCTTCATTATGAAAAATAAATGCCTTATCACTGTAGTGATTAACCAGACGATTTTACAATTTGCTGTTTTTTGAAGTGCAATTATAAAAACTTTTATATATAAATCAACAAAATTAAATTAAGTAACACTTGGAATACTAAACTATGGTTAAGTGTTATCAATTAAATGGATAAGCAAATCTTTTTTACAATATAAAAAATCGTTTTTAAAATATTAATCATTTTGACCAAATATTATTGGCCTTATTTTACTTAAAGCTAAATAGATGATTAGAATTACGATAGTGGATAATTTAAAGAAAATGTATTTATATCCTAGAAAGAGGAAATGTTTCTTATTTAATGAAATATTTCGTAATTCTAGAACCACGTTCATCTTATTTAATTGTTTTTAAGATTAATATTAAAAACTTCTATATAAAGCATCATTTCATTTCAAAAATAATTTCTACAGACGTGGTGTGTCTCTTATGGTGCAATAACAGAAGTAGACCTAAATTTCTTTATATTCATGAAAGAGCTTTTAATTTAATTCATGATTTCGAATAGCATTTTTAGTTACTGCCTCGTGTTTAGTACTACCTTACTTGTGAATAGCTTGTAGGGCATTAAGTAGCGCTTGAATCCTAAAAAAACAAAAACAATCCTGTCCCTCAATTTGATTGTTGAACAATTGTATGTATTATTGTAATAAAAAAAAAGATGGAATAAAAAAGAAAAGAAAAAAAGAAGGTTGTTAAAGTGTATAGTTTTATAGTAGATCAGGGCAAATTAATATTTCTAAGTCATAGTATAGTCCATAAAAAAATATTTTTCTTGCAAGGCTACAATAAAATTACTCCCTGAGACATTAAGTGTAGATGTGAGTTTTTCAAGTTTTTATTTTAATTTTCATTGTCTATATTTTTGAAAGTTGCTATAATTGTTTATTAATATATTTCTTGTTACATCATTTAACTACATTTCTTGTCCAGGGCAATGGACATCCATGTTATAAATGTACTTAATAATTGGGCTTAATGTAAGCTGTTGTTGATTATTTGTTAGTAAATAATAGTATATGTAAACAATGTATATAGTGTATAGAGACTGAGATAGGCTTCATAGAGTGAGATTTATGACAGATTACTTTTATTTAAAGTCATTGTCAGAGTTTAGTTTGCCTTCAGGTTCACAATACCAAAGAAAGCTTACATAATGAAAACAAAGTTTGTTACTTTTAAAAAATAATAAATATGAAGGTATTTGACTATACTGAATAATAAATTTGAATATTATTGACAATAATATCATGAAATTTGTGTAGTTTTTTTTCATTAAATTCTAAATATTTTAATAAGTTTTTTGGCAACCTGAACTTTGATCATAGACAGGAGCCAGTGCATACACATGTATTGTAGGATGGTGCACAGAAGTTCCTCCCTAGTTATCTAATCTAAAGACAGCGTCCTCTTGAGTTCATTTCTGACTCCACAGAGCACTTGTGATGTGACATTGTGATTTGTTAGGTGTTCTATTTTGCTTGACATTTTCTTTTTTGTTTTGTTTTTATTATCTATTTTTTAGGTATTAGTTTTGCTTATTTACTGAGAGAAAGGAAGGAGAGTTAACAAACTATTGACTGCACTTTAAATCATAATTATTTGAACTTTCCTTATTTTTTGTAAATAATTAATATCTTGCCGTTATCTTTTAACATTAGTTAACAATTGAGGTTGGTGTTCCTTCGAATTATTTATTAATTTAATGTGTATACTATTTACGTGAAATCGTATAATTCTTTTCTAATAAAGATTTGTGTTCTAAACATATACATACAAACCCACACGGAGATAAGATATGAATTGAATACAAAAATATATCTTCCAAAGAGAAATATATTATATATTTTGTTCCTAATCTGTGTGAGATAATTCTGAAATAACTTTGTAAACAAAATTTTAATTTTTTTTATCTAACTATTTATCTTTATGGTTTATTAGAAAATTTCATTAAGTTAATAAGTGGCTAAGTTTCTTTGATAAGAGTTCTTTGCTTTTAATTCCCATTTCTCAATCCTTTGTTTCAAAATATGTAAAGTTTTAGAGAATTGTATAGTTTAATTATTTCAATTTGATTGTTGGCTAAATTAAATTTTAAGTAATAACACTGTATATGTAAATAAGAAATAGTTTTGCTAGTTTAAACACTGAGACATGTCACTTCCACTTAGGTAAAATAATAGACTGCAAGGAAAAAAATGAGTTAAAAGCTATATCCTTAATTTTATGTATAGAGAATACTGGAAATAAATTATATTCATGAGTTAAAATTTGTTTATTGATTTTTTATATTCCTGATTAAACCTTCTATAAGTTTGAATATATAATCAGTGTAATAAATGATAAGTATGCTTGTTTTTCATTTCACCCTAATTTTAAATGATTCTTGACTAATAAATAATATAGTTTTATAGTAAACTAATTTTAAGAAACAATGGTGAAAAGAGGTGTTAAAAAATAAAAATACCCACACACATATATATACATACAGAGTGTACAAACAATAATTATTATTCTTTATTTCCAATATTTCATTGAAATTAAAGTAAGTATTACATATATTTACATATTCTAAGGATTGGTAGAACCTCATTTTGGTTGGCATAACGATGACAACATTGCTGAATCCACCTTCCAGGATTTTTTTTTTTTATAAATTATAATACACCCATTCCTAATATCAATTATTATTTTCTTCACTGTTGGAATTTGCAACTTCATTAAAAAATTGAAAATTGGTAAGCCACTTTTAGGAATTATTTGAGATTTTTCTTTTTTATTTAGAACTAGGTACTTAAATAACTGGACCAAGTTTAGTCAACAAGCATGATTGGAAATATAATTAAGTTGCTTGGCAATAATAACTTCCAATTATTAACAAACGAGTATATTTTTTAACATTACATGTTACAGTCTAGTTGACGTTTCGGGACCTTTTATTCCCATCTTCAGAACTGCAATTCCAATACTCTTGTGGATGCAAGGCTTAATTCTAATGATTATAATAATGTGCTCCATCGTCAATTTTCTAATTTATGTTCTAAATTTTATATCCATTTTTATATCAAATTTTATATTCTAAATAAATCCATCTAGAGCAACATTCTCCTTTTGACCGATAATTGGGTTTCTGCCATAGTCTAGTGACTAAATGACCCAATTATTGGTCAAAAGGAGAATGTTGCTCTAGATGGTAAAATTTAGAACGCAAATTAGAAAATTGACAATGGAGCACATTATTATAATCATTAGAATTAAGCCTTGCATCCATACGAGTATTGGAATTGCAGTTCTGAAGATGGGAATAAAAGGTCCCGAAACGTCAACTAGACTGTAACATGTAATGTTAAAAAATATACTCGTTTGTTAATAATTGGAAGTTATTATTGCCAAGCAACTTAATAAATTGACAACTTCCCAGGAAAAAAGAAAAAATTTAAATTAATTTTTGCAAATAAAATAGTACCAGTTCAGTACCTACAAGAAAATCAATTACTATTTAAGAAATATATTCTAATTTATAGAATACAAAGCAATTGTAAGCATAGTTTTAAATTATTTTTCTTAAATTGTTGATGCAATCCTAAGTTTTTGGGCTATAGTAAAATGAAAATAAAAAAAAAAAGGATGATTTCAGGTTTTGAAGATCAATCATGATAGGAAGTTTGTTGCATTGACAATTTTTCTTCTTATTCTTAGATAATTTTTTTTTCATGCTCTGGCTGCCTATAAAACATGGACGAGTTATTCACAATATTTTTAACAATGACGACTTGTTATACAAGAGAAATCATAAAACTTTTCTAATTCATATTGCTTCCTCACTACCGAAGGTAGGGAAGCATTGTGTTCGTGCGAGAAATTAAAAAAATTTTTTTGCTCAGAATCGAAAATTTTCACTCGCGTTTTACATTTCAGACATCAAGGATCAAATTTGGTTCGGTGTCTGTCTGTCTGTAGTCAAATCGATGTGACGGGCATATCACCTAGTACCGTTCATCCAATCTTCATGAAATTTTCAGGGATTATGCTGATCGGTGCCTAGATGGTCCCATATCAATTTTATCAAATTCCACCCAGCACTTCCGCTTACGCACGCGCAAACGTATATTTTTAGATATGCCAATATTTCAGAAAGGGCTCGTTCGATTTGGCTCAAAGTTAGATAAAAGGTAGACTTTGGTGAAAAAATAATGTAGTGTCAATTTCATTGAATTGCGTCCAACACTTTCTCTTATATGTGCACTACTAGTCCGCCGTCCGCGCATTTTTTCTGAAACTACTAGACCGATTTTTTTCAAATTTGGATATAAAATCAGAGGTCACCCGAGGATCATCCTCCTTCAACGACATTACTATTCGCCTTCTAGTTTCAAAATGGCGGCCTAAAAACCTGCGTTGCTATAGACTGTAGCGCCTAAACAAATGAACCGATTTTGATGAAACTTCGCTAAAGTCATTTTCTCTACGCCCTCTAAATTTATCTATACTACATACTTCAATGAAAAGAAGCTCAAAAAAAGTTACTTGGGATGGTAAAATTAAATTCCGAATAACTCAAGAAGTATACACATTTATGTCAATATTGTATATGGTTTTTTAGAAGTTTACGGAATTTCTTAAAGAACAAAAAAAAAATCGGACAATTAGGAGCAAAGATATCGTCTCTAGTTTTTTTTAGATGTGCTATTGCAAAAGGTTTATCTTTTTTTTGATTTCTGAATGTGTTACTGAAGTAATGCTATTTTTTTTATCATATTACTAATGATTAAAAAAGATTTTAGTCCAATAATTAGAATCACCTTTTATTTATTTTTCTTTATAACTAGGAATTTAATGTTACTTTATATGTATAATTGTTTGGAAATAATATACCAAAGAGAAATAATTTGCAGTGGTTTTTTTCAAATTAATTATCGTTATGTATATATATATATATATATATATATTTAAATCTTTCGTGCTGAAGCCCCTCCTCCAAAATTAAATGTTGATTTGGTAATGTATATACTATTATTAGAGCATAAGTTCGTATGTAATAATTTTCAACTTTAATTCTATGTGTATTAAAGGTGATATTTTGTAGTCTGCAACTGATATAAGTAGTCTGCTACTATGGAAAATAGCAGATGAAAATAAAATATGAAATTATTCTAATAATGCATAAAGAAATATTGAGTTTTTATGCACTCTTGTAAAACAATAAATACATTTATACATAAGACCTTTTGAACTAACAGTATTGAAATTCATGTTCAGTATGCATTTTTTTTTATTTATTTATTTTTTTATTAAGCATAATTAAGTATGGAATATTCAAATACGACCCTCTGTTGTTGAATGTTGACCTGATGTTGATGATCATGTTGAATGATGGGTAACTGTAATCAGCTATCTCATTCGAAAAATTGTATACCTTGTAATATACAACGGAAACGGTGAGGAAGCTATACTGACCTTACTTGGCAGACGTTTTGAGAAATGTTGTATTTAAATGGAAATTCAAGTATTGGTACCATATCAACTTTTTTTTGTTTGTTATATTTTACCACATTTTGATAAGTTTCTATGGTATGGGTAATTGTGAAAACAGGTGATATTATTGTATGATATTTTGTCTAAGGCACTAAGTATGGTACAGTCCATCTAAATTTGCCAGTGGGTAGAGGGGTATAGAGGTCTGCAGTATTAATTCGTACATACATCTACAATTTTCTTTACAAGTAGACATTTCTTTTATCATTTTTTTTTTTCATTTATTTTACCGATTTCCATTGACTATGTCGAGTAAACTGGGTAGAGGAAAAACTATCCTCTCTCAGAACAAAAACATAATTATGAATCTATTTAAATTCATGATATTAGAGTGCTACCATTGGATAGTTTCTTAACAAGTGTTTTCACGTCATTATATCCATATGTTCAAATTCACTAAATGTATTTGTTTAACACAATTGTAAATATCATTAAATAAAAAAAAAAATCATGATAGAGTTTTGGGGAGGTGGAACTTAAGTGAGGACAGGATGCGTGAGTTCCCTTTCCTTACATGCAAACTTCTCTTGGATGCACTATACCATGGTGAGATTGAGGATAGACAGCAACGATCTTTTTTGCTTTGTTGCTCAGGCACAATTTTTTAGGTCTTACTTGGTTCAAACTAAGTTCTATACGATAGTTTTAAATACATTGAAATGAAGATAACTAAATTTCATCTACTTAATACCATTTCTAAATATCTGATTTCTGTGGTAGGTTTTTTTTTTTTTTTTTTTATTTAAACTAGCCAAAAATGTAAAAAAAATTTATCAAACCCAGTTTAATTTAAGATATTTTAATAATAAATGGGATTAAAAACAAAAGAAAGATAACACAGTAGTGAGGCAAGCCATCCTGGACTGATGCTACAGAATACTAGTAAAATCAGAACAAAGAATATAACAGAAAAACCTTAAAATGTATCTGTAACGCAGTAAAAGGACATATTGCAGGTCATAACATTGGAGAGACAAATTTACTTTGAACCTGTGGTTATGAAAAAAAAAACAACCAGAAAACTATTTGGAATAAATATGTCTGAAATTATTAACTAACCAGCCATCAGATAATAACAGAAAAACTATGAATTGTTACTTTATTTTATTTATTTTGTATGGAATGGTTTGCTTAATATTTAAGAAGGATTTATCTAGTTTTAAAACAACACACTTTATTATAGGTGTAAGAACAGTAATGAATAAACATTAATAATAAAAATAATTCAGGAAATACTTTATTTAATATTAGGGAACAATAACTTCTCTTATACAAATTGAACGCTGTGGAAAAAATTAATGATTCCAATATAACTACTTTATTGATAATATTTGTAATCATTTACAAGATATGAAAAAAACAAAAATAAGTATAAATTTGTTAATCTAACCTACCTACTTAAGATACATTGAGTTTTGACATAAAACAGCTTGATTTAGAAGCTTTATGAATTATCAAAAAGCATTATTAAAGCATTTATATGGCCAAAACATACAAATTAAAATATACACAGAATGAGATTATATGTAGCAAATAGAATATCTTACAAACAATTACTGTTCACTAAAAAATTAAAATAAAAAATTCATATTCATAACATCATTCTGATATATACTCTTTTCAGTCCTTAAGAACGTTGCCACAGCTCAGCATTAGTGCTGGACATCTCAAAAAAGATCCCGGTATTTACAAAGTATTCCATTTTCCCCAATTCTTTTCAATTCAAATTTATAACAATAAAATATGCTTTTATTATTTTCAAAACATTCAACATACATATATATATGAATATATATACTCCTATGCACTAGGACGATATAAATATATCTGAATAAACAATAAAACAATGGTTAAATATATGTGTGTGAAAATTTGTGGAAAATATAAGGGACCTTTATGCTTCAAATTAAACATGCACCCAAAAACGCTTATTATTCAAACTGGCCCCTCGATTTCACTCACTTTCATTGTACAATAATAAATACATCTAAGGAGTGCAAAAAGACCAAATAGGAATATACCTAAAAAAAAAAAATACAATTAAATTAATGAATTATCACCTTAAAATATATTTATTAACCAGTTCTAAGATAAAGAACACCTTTAGTTTTAAGCATTATGAATATTCTATGAAATAGTTACTGCCACATGTTTTTAAATTATATGAAATTAAAAAGCTAATGATTAGTCAATACTGTTACTTATATAAAATGCATTGCAATGATGTATTGGTAAACATATCAATCCCTAATGATGTATAATATATTTAGTAAAATAACTTCCTAAAAGAAAAATCAATTGTTAATAATTAATTTCAAGTTATTCAAATTAATTAAGTATTTAATTTGAATTAAGTAATTCAAATTAATTTCAAGAACTTTTTTTTTAATAGGTCCTTTTTGTGGAGGATCTCATAAAATTATATGTTTTTTTTCTCCAATATAGAAGTTAAGCTGATTGCATAACTAGAAAGTTTGTGTTTTATTTCAAAAATTTAACCAAACTGTTTAGCTCAAATTTTTCATATTAGTTTTTGAACAGGTTTTTCATTTTTATTTTACGATCCCTAATCACTTCATAGAATAAGTTTCAAATAAAGTATAACCATAATGTTTATAGAATAATATGAACTAATTAGTAATTTAAATTAAATTATGTACTTAAACATTTGAATACTTACATATATAAATAAAAAAATATCCACCATTCAAAGCTGCAAAATGATATGTTCCAAGCGTCACTCCAGTTCCAATTATAAATAATATTATGGATATTGTTAGAAACAGTTTTCCTCTCCAACGAGCAAAACTTGGTCCAACAGATGAACTGGTAAAAAAAAATATATATATATATATGTAAGCAAATAAATACATGGATAAATAATAAAATACCAATTGACTGTTTGAATAATTTTGAATTGACTGTTTATATAAAAAATAAAAATAATTAGGAATGATCTTTTATAAGAAATATTGAAGTATATTACCTTTTTTAATATATATAGTTTATTATAAACTTCCCTAAATCAAAAAAGTAGTATTCTGTTTTTTAAAAAAATCACCAACGTTTGTTCTTACATTCAAAATAAAATTATTATATCAAAGTAGTAAAGAAAAAATAAATAAATTTAACAACAGTATTTATTTTTTTTATTCGAAATTTTAAAATGATCATCAATGCCTACTACTCCAGACAATTTAACCACTAAAAACCAAACATGGTAAACGAAGCTAGAAATAAGTTTTAACAGTTCAGTAAAACTTTAGAAAAGTTAAAAAAAAAAGTAACAAATATTGGAACGAAATTAAACATTTGGTGAAAGATAACAAACATTGATATCTTTTGTATAAAATTATTATACACATTCATTAATGCAGGCCTACATAGGAAAAGGGTAGCAGGTGAGTTATGTTATCAACAAGGCAATAAAAGTAGGCTGTTGGTATTTACAAGTTGATGACCTCAATCTCAAGGATTTTTTCCTTTCTTTTTAAAAAAAAATATGTAAGAATGCATTAAAAAAAACAAAAAAAAAACAGCCTGTAAGGTTATATTTCAATACCACTCATAACCATAGATAAAATTAGCCAATACATAATTTATTAATTACCTAAATTATTAAGTACCTTGTTTACCAAATAAAACTTTTTTATGTGATTTTTATTTTCTGATTATCATAATCAGACATTTCCTCTAATACAGATGAGGTTAGACAATACCAAACCACAGAGCCTCTAAATATTTTATTATAAAACTTGGAAAACTAAAAAATTATACCACTTTTAAAACGAGATAAAATTATTTTTGGAGGCTGCAGAAAAAAATCATTTCATATAGTATAAAAAGAAAAAAAACAAAAAAAACTAAATATTGCAACCATCAAACTCATAATTTTTAAAGTAATCATTGTTACTGTTAGTGCAAAAGGAAACATGTAAAAATTGAATTATTTTACAGAAGAGCATAAAAATTGATTATTTCTTAATGATTTATTAGTATAATTTCATATTTTATTTCTCTCTGCTATTTTCTAATTTAGCAGAATACGTAGAGCAGTAACAGACAACAAAATGTTACTTTCAGCGCAAAGAGATTGAACATGTAATATTGTTATTAACAGCAGCGATTTCGCACTAACAGTAGTGATATATAACTGTTCATAATAAAACAGTTTTTTATTATGAATATTTTTTGTTTTTATAATAGATTGAAATAATGGTGCTTATGTTACTTACACTTTTCTGCAGTGAGGACAGCGAGCAAGAGCATTTCTAAGAGTATTAAATAGAAATGTATCTCTACAGTGAACACATGTCACTCGACACATTCCAGGCACAGATGGGACAGGAGGAGTAACAGGCGATGGCGAAAGATTAATGATCCGCTTGCAGTTAGGTCTTGGGCAAGCTATTCTTTGAGAAGATGACTTGCATATCAGTAAACAGTTGCAAGGGCAACGCACATATTTCTTCCCAGGAGGAGGATTTTTTATAGGCTGCAATTTTTTAATAATACTTCATTTAGTTCAGAAGAAATAGAAAAGATTTCAGAAAAAAGTAACATAATGTTATTACTGAAATGCACTCATAATATATCATAAGTCAATAGCAATGAGAAATCAATTAATTAATTTTAAAAAAATTTAAGTATTAAAGAAAATTGAGTAAGTAATTTTCTATTGTTACATAATTTTCAGAAACAAGTAACATAATGTTATTACTGAAATGCACTCATAATATATCATAAGTCAATAGCAATGAGAAATCAATTAATTAATTTTTAAAAAAATTTAAGTATTAAAGAAAATTGAGTAAGTAATTTTCTATTGTTACATAATTTTGCTCTTCTGAAATTCTTAAAAATTCAGAGAAGAGTTTCTATAACTAATAGAACTTTAGAAGTATACACAAACACCAGTTAAAACTAAAGAGTTGTTACCAAAATAAAAGTTAACAGCAATAATTTATAGTAAAATATGCTGAGGACGTCTATTGACAAATATTTAACAAAACAGTGGAAATGTGAGTAAACACGTAAAGGATATTGAATTGTGAAGGGAATCTGATAAAGAAATTGATGGAATTGAATGAATTTCAAATTGTGCTGGAAAAGAAACAAAGCAATGATACAAAATCAATATGTATAAATAAATATATTCTAACGTAACTCTTTTCTAAAGTTACCTTCCCTCAACCGTGATATCATTTCCTTGCTGCCAAATGATGTAAGTGAGGTATAGTCATTAAAACTCCCATAAAAAAGTTTAAAAAAAATTAAACCATTACAAAAGTTAAGAATAAACAAATATAATTAAGAAAGAAATATCTTTCAATTTTTTGTAAATTATAATTCCTTCATAGTAAGAAAAAATATAAGATGGATTAATAATCAACAATCAACTTCACATTTATCTTTAAAGGATGGTGATTCATTTCATTTGATATATTTATTATGTGTAAGGAAAGCAGAGAAATGAAATTACACAATTATTTAAGATTAATTAAAATAAACTTTTAAGATGGATTAAATTTTGGATCTTAACCATCTGGAATCACTATTATCTTATTTTTTCATCAGTTATTTATCGAACAATTATAAACCAGAAAATATGTATTCAAATTAATTTTTAAATCTTTAAAATCACTGAACCAAATTTTTAAAAAATAGGAAAATTCAATGCTCTATAATTAACTAATAATTTTATATTTTTACTTGAGCAAGAGGCCAATTGATTAAAGAATGCTGTAAAAAACTCTTAAGTTAGTTTGTTTTAGTTCGAGAGATCTTTTATCATAATTGTTAATTGATATTTTAAAATAACTATAAGATCTTAAATAAAGTTTTCTACATTTTAAAATAACTACATAATTGATAATTCTGTCAAAGTACTGAATTGACACACCTAGTCAATTGAGTGAGTCATATAGCAAATAAATAACATAAAATACAATTCAATTAACATGACATTGGAACACAGATCTACAATTAATATTAAAAAAGAGTAAATCACAAGTTTAATATAAAACCACTATATCCAAATAGCAACAATGCTAAATTGGGTTAAAAACTATTAATTAACTTTAAAGTGTTAGAAATCTGACAAAGGAGTAATAAAAGAAATGTAAGACAATGAATTAATTATGTAAAGACCTGATGTAATTGAAATATAATATTTTATAAAAATATTTTAATTTAAGAAATTTAAATCTAACTGATCATTGAAGTTGCATTGAGAATAAAAAATACTGATCTAAGAATATTTATACAACTATTGAGAATAGATTGAATATATGGTATTTTAAGGTACGTAGAAGTTACAAAAAAAAAAAAAAAAGATCTTCCTCATTAGTAAAACATTAAAAATGTAACTGCAAGTAAAAAGAAATGTGTAGTTATTAACAATTGAAATGATTGAAAACACAAACCAATCGAAATATTAGCATTAAACTTACTGTGGCTTCATTGCAATGTACGCATTTCACAACATGCTGTTCTTTTTTTTCAGAAACATCAATCAATGCTTGACAGACTCTACATGTAACCATGGGTGCATTTCCATGAATCGCAGCTTGATAGGATGGAGGAAAATCATCAGGCCCAAGAGGTGATACAGTTTGGGGCTCCTGTTCTCCAGCAGCTAAAATAAACTTTGATTTTGAGTAGGATAACTTTAATAAATACTATGTATTGGATAACAGGCAGATTTTCATAAAAGATTCATTGATTATAAACAGATAAACAAATAACAAAATTAGCCTCTTCTCTGAAATCTAAAAATTACTATAATTTGATTTGAGGAAAATCTTTTTGACTAAAATTATATATTTAATAAACTTACGGACAGCAGAGTTGGTGACAATTCTCGTATTAAGTTCATTTTGCAAAAGTGGTTTTGTTTCATCTTGACTATCACCCATGTTTTACGTCTGCTTTATCATCAAGACTCAACTGACAAAGGCTGCTTTGTTGGTACGACCCTAACGATATGAAAACCACAATAACCACTTTCTAAATGAATTCTATCTCAAATTTATAATATAAAATTATATATAATCAATGGATCATTGGTTACGTAATGTCAAACTTATAAGTATCACTGTCCCTAGTTCAGTTGGCGTCCATGTAATCAGCTGATTCTCCTGTAGCAGTGTGTTGTGGTTATAAACTGATTAGTAAACATTTAGTGGTTTTGATAAAATTAAGTTCGAAATTTCATTCCATTTCAATTAATTTCGTTTAATTCTTTTTCTGTTTGGATTTTTCACCTAGGAAACATTCTGGCACTAGAAATAACTAAATAAATGAAGACAGCTCAGTTTTAAAAATGACTACTCTTGATGATAAAATACTTGGCATTAAGAAAGATTATTACTGTAGCAGTAGTGAAAGTGAAGAAGAAAATGAAAGTGAATCTGGTAGTGATATAGAAAAGACTCCTGAGAGCTGTAACCCTGTTGAACAACATAAAGAACCAGTTTCCAAATGGGAAGGCAGTTCAAAAAACACTGGGCCCAAAGGTGTCATCAGAGATTGGCAATTGTATAAACAATTGGAAACTGAAAAGCGACTAGACTTGGACTTACAAAAAATTGAGTTAGCCAAAAAGCTTACTTTGTCAAATTCTCAAAAACCTGATGAAGATGAGGATAAAGATCTGTTAGAGTTAATGGGTGATGATTTTCTTTTACAGTTCCAGAAGCAAAGAATGGAAGCTATGCTTTCTAGACCTATTGATCGTCCTTCATTTGGAACCGTTATAAGTTTAAAAAATGGCAATGAATTCCTTGATGCAATTGATAATGAAAATAAATCTGTTACCATCATCATACATATTTATGAAGAGCGTAATTCTGGTTGCAAAACTATGAATAAATGCATAGGATCTTTGAGCAAACAGTATCCATCTGTAAAATTCTGCAAGATAAATGTTTGTTCTGCAGGAATGAGCCATAGGTAATTTTATGAGTTGATTGGTAGTATCATGTTTATCACTTAAGTATTTGTAACTATTTTATCAAGATTTCAGCTTTTCCACGTTTTATGATGAGGCTGTGTTTTAGGGAAAATCCAAATTAATTTCCTCTATGGAAAAGTAATATGAATCTTGACATTTTTACTTTTGTTAGAAGTATATTTCAATAATGTATTCAACAAAAACAATAGTATTTTTTAGAAACAGAAGTGTCTGAAAGGGGCAGCGTTATTATCTGTTATGCAAATAACAAATTTTATATGAAATCCACGATTGGGTGCTTTCTATAATTTTAAATTTTTCTATTAAATAACATTTACAGAATAGAAAAATATTTACAACAACTCTACATTTAATCAAGTTGTTATTAAGAAGAAGCAAGCAATCAACAATCTTAGGAGAGGCATGCAAAATCTTTCGAGGAAGATGGAAGGCAGCTCTAATGCACATGAAATGAAAGCTATGAAAATGATATAGCGCAATTTCAATGCATTGCCACGATTGATATTTGAAAATCTTTAACATTGAAATAGTATCATAAAATATTTTGAACTGCATGTGTTGCTTTTACATCCAACTGATAGTGCATTTTTAATAAATATGTATAGTTTCACCTTATATTTAAATGAAACATTAAGCCAAATTTGTATCAAGCCAATTGGTGACAAACTTTCTGAGATTTAAGAGTTTAAACAACCAAACATTTACATTTTTATTTGCCTTAAAATGATTAACACAAAGTTGAAATATTAAACAATACATTAAATATAAAAAATAATAAATTTAAATTTGAAAATATATGAGTAGCTTGATATCAAAGGACGGATTTCTGTCATTTTCAGGAAGCGGAGATAAAGTCAATTTTAGTTTTATAAGTTAAACTCAGACTGTTTCTGATGATTAAGAATGACGGTATATTCACTCAGATGATTACAAATGTTCAAGTTGAATCATGAAAAAAAAATCATTAGAATTAGTTTAAATTGAGGCCATTTTACAGACAAATTTGTTTCCCAAACTTTTTAAAAATGACGGATGTCCTTTGGTATTAATCCACTCATATGTGCTTTCTATTTTCTTTCTTTTCCATTTTTCCAGGCTAAGCCATAGCAGTGCGTGGCCGGGTAAAGCTAGTTAATCATAAATATTCTGTATTCTATTTAAAACAATAATACAATCAATTTCAATGGTTTTATTTGTATTTTAACTATTCAAAATCTTTCCCTTACCAAGTATTTTTTTTAATGAAGAATTAGAAAAGAATTTTTACCCAGAAAAACGTATAGTAATTTTAAAGTTTAATTAAGAGAAGTATAGTTGGGGTGATCAGTCAAATAAGAAGGCACAAATAAATGATAATATTTATTATGACATTTGTCTACGTTTCGACCTGAAGTTCAGGCCTTCATCAAGGCTAAGAAAAAAAACAGATAACAAGGTATGAGAAATTTGTTTATCTACACTACTTATGTTTCTCATACCTTGTTATTTGGTTCTTTTCTTAGCCCTGATGAAGGCCTGAACTTCAGGTCGAAACGTCGGCAAATGTCAAAATAAATATTATCATTTATTTTTGCCTTCTTATTTGACTGATCACCCCAACTATTCTTCTCTTCATTATTCACTACAGTCAACCATTTACCCACAATTAAAGTTTAATTCATTTAATAATAATCTAAATTAACTTCAAACTAATAATTATTCCAATATTAATGTTAACAGGTTTAAAATGGATGGTGTACCTGCTCTGCTTGTTTATAAAGAAGGTTCTGTTATTGGAAATTTTGTCCGAGTAACTGATGAACTTGGTGATGAATTTTATGATAGTGATGTCGAAAATTTTCTTATTGAACATGGAATTCTAAATGATCCTTACTGTGTTCCAATGATAATGCAAACTGAAGAAGAAAATGAAGGAAGTGATTGGAGCCTGGAGTAATATTTATGATATTCATGATGTAATATTTTATTCTCATCGTGTTGTTTCTTAACACCAAAAAATGTGTCATAATGACATTGTTTTTGTATGATAATCAAGATCTTTTTATTCATGATGTTTATACTATCTTCTAATTTTATATATGAAATGCTTAGCACTTTTAAAATTTTACTTTCTTGTTATGGATATGCACTATTTATTTAATATGATCATGTGTATTAAGTGCATAAGAATGAACTTCATAGTTTAAGGATGTTCAGATATATATTGCAAGATCATTAGTGGAGGAAATGTATCAGTGGGTAATAACTGGAAGTTTTATTACTATTTTGATTAAAGACCCCAAAAGGAGTTCAGGATTGTGTCTGCTTCTTTAGGTAGAGCATCATCTCACTTATTTTTCTTCCCACAGATAAATTTTTTAATCTGTATGATATCCATTTCATGAACATTCAACAATATTAGTTGTCATTGTTCAATTTTTTATGAATAATGTCATAGTGCATGTCTGTGTATTGACTTAATAGTGTAAGTTTTGTGTTTATGTATTTATCAATACATATCGTAGGTTCATTGCAAAAAGTCATTAAGTGACATTTCATAACCTCAAATAATTAAGAACTTGGATGAATTATCTTTTGGTGAAATCAGAAAATGTTGCATTTTGTGTGACTATATATGATAAATAAAAGAGTTTGTCATTTTCATTTACGTTTTAATTATAGATAAATAAGGTTGAAATTGACAAAAACATTTTTGAAAGTCAACCTATATCAAAAATGTACTTAGTGACTTTTTGCAACAAACTGATAATCTCTTTTCTTAAATAAATTGAACGGTAATAATTCCAATGATACATTCGAACATGATGGGTGCGAAAAAGATCATAGAGCCTCATTTTATTAAATAATTTTGGTTTTGCATTACTGACACGGTCAATTTTTTTTTTTTTTATCTTCTCATTTGTTCCCTCAATTTAATTAATCTTTTATTTGGATTCTTAGTTATTGTTTTTGATAGTCCGATAAAGTACATGGATCATGATAATCATTAGTGGAAAATGTAAAAATACTGTTATTTTGATATTTAACTAAAGATAGAATGCTGAAAGTAATTTAATATATAATTTATTTCTATGGAAGCTCTAGGGATTGGTCATCTCCACCTAGTTTCTGGAATGCTTGGCTACTTTCAGCATTCAATCTACAGTGAAAGTCTAATGTCTTGTACTCATTCCCCATGTTGGTGTGATATTTTAGAACTATTACCCTCTAAATTTTTTACCTGTTTTTTTTTCTATAAGTAAAACTGAATGTTAGATTGTATATTGACCAGATCCTGAGGATCATTAAACAACCAAGCATATCCTATTCTCTTTTTCTCATTTTGATTTATGTTTATGTGAGATTTATGAATTAGGATTATTTTATTTAGGTTTTATCTGGAAGCAGGGACTCTTTTTTTAAAATTTCTAATTCTGTTTTATATACCTCAGAAAATGTTGACTTCTAACTGTTTAGGAGAAATCCTAAGACGGTTCTTTTCTTAAATTATCTGATGAAAGAAAAAAGAATTTCCATATTTACTAAAATAGATTAATACAAAATTTAATAGAGGTGTGAGAGCTACTTTAAGTTACACATATTTATAAAAAACTTATATTATTCATATATTTTGATATGTTAATTTATTTTATTATTATATATTTTCAATGAAATAGTTGACCATTTCAGCAACTGATGGCGATCTAGAAAGGTGTGGGGTTGTAGGTCGGTGAGAGGAGATTAAAATAAAATATACTGTACAAAGTGCACTATTTTATGTGAAATATTTCCAGAAATATATTTTATGTTTTTCTGGTCAAACTTTTAATTTTGATCAGCTTTTATATATTTTTTTTACTATATTTATTTGTAATTGGTAATAATTTTATATTATGCTAAAAAATTTTGTTATGTTTTTTAATCCTACTAAGATCTGTTTAGACATTACACAAAGTATGGGAAACACAAATATTTAAATGTTTTTTCCTTAAGATAGTGTTTTTGTTTTGTTGCTTTTTTTTTTTTTTTTTTGTTTTTATGTATTCCATCTGCTGTTGGTAACAAGAGACATAAAAAAAAAAAGTTGGGCTTAGCTTAGAAGTTAGATATTGTGTTTATCATAGTTTGTGAAATGTCTTACACACCTTTAAGAATCCTTCCTTGATTTGAATCTTCTACAAAAAATATTTTTTGGAATATTGTATATAGCCATCAAATGGTTTAGTGTTATTTTCAATGACCCATTTTTTATAATGTAGATAATTAGTTCATTGTAACGTCATATAGAGTAAATTGACTTTTATGAGTTTAAAACAGACTTGGGCAGTATTTCAAATAAACTATTTTAAAATACAATAAATTTATTTTAAGAAATAAAATATAAATCAAAATGTTTGTAACTGTATTTTCTTTTTAAAATACAAAAAAAAAAAAGTATTTTATTTTATATTTTCAATTACAAAATAAATTGCCAAATAGAGTTGGTTCCCTGTATTATATGCGTCCACCAGAAAGTATATTGTATTTCAAATTAATTTTCTGAAAACAATTTAAATACTCTGTAATTAAAATACAGTGTGTTTGAAAAAAACAAAATACATGGTATGTCAAAGTATTTTTTGCCCAGGTCTGGATTAAAAGACCTGATACTGATACTAAGAAAAGGCTGAATTGATTAAACTGCTATACAGCTTAGAAATAATGATAGTTTGAGCAGAGAATGCTATCATTTAAAGAAGAATGGATAAGTACATTAAGCTTGTTGACATGTAGATTTATCATTAAAAATTTCATTGGTATACTGGATAGGAGAGATATATTTTGAGATAATTAATATTTAAGATAGTCCATGCAGCAGGGACAGGGGCATACCACCAATAGCTTCCTAGCCAAAACTCAGAGGTAATTTGGCAGTGTACTTCCCCTTACTCATGGGATTTTCCTCCCATTCTGTTTGAATTGTAATATATTTTCTTATTTTACGTTTTCAGAAAGTATTGTCTTTTGCTGCTGCTATTGAATAATTTTAGTCCTTTGAATAATTCTATTATTTCTTAAACTTATTTTTATATAGTCAGTTAATCGCATAACGCCATTCAGTACATTTTTGTGAATTTCGACCTTAATAATCCTAGCAAAAACATAAAAATGACACAAACACTAGTATATACAAAAAATAGTTACAATACGTCCTCAATCTTTTGAATTCACAGAGAGAAATTTCATCAGCTAGCTTTTGCTAGATGCCAACCATCGAGACCTCCAATACAACATCAACATCCTCCAGGAAGAAATAGCCACCATAAACATGAAGATTAATCCGGAAAAAACTAAATGCATGAGAATAGGGAGAAGCCCCAGAGAATAATGAGGGTGGTGAGAGATTGGAGCAGGTAGATAATTTCCAGTATCTGGGTGCTCATCTCAATGAAAATGGTTATGTTGATGAGGTGGTGAGTAAAAGAATCGCGGCAGCTGGCAGAATGTTCTATCTGCTCTGGAGGGGATTTCTGGGCAGAAGAGAGATAACGAAGCGAACTAAAGTAGCAGTCTACAAATAGACATTTCTCCCTATCCTTTCCTACTCCTCTGAATCGTGGACCCTCACCTCGAAACACAAAAGTCGATTTTCAAGCCATGGAGATGCGATACCTTCGGTAGGTCGAGGGAAAGGTCAAAAGAGATAGGGTCCGGAACGCCACTGTATGGACTAGCCTCGAGGTCAAACCGGCTGAAACCATCCAAGAGGAGCACAAGCTAAGATAGTTCGGACATCTTCTTAGAACAGCCAGGAAGACATACGAGACCCGTGTGGAGGGAAGAAGTCCTAGAGGAAGACCATGCGTATCCTGGGAAGACAGTGTACAAGAAGCATTCAGGAAGCGAGGTATGGATTGGAGTAAAAGAATAGAGTTGGCTCAAGAAAGGGAAACCTGGTCCAAGCTCTACAAGATATAGCCCACATTGTGCTGCGGTATTGGGATCAGGAATATGATGATGATGAAATTTCATCAAAGTATACCTATGGACAAAATTAACGCAACACTACAATATTTTAAGTTAAAATTAAACTTAAAATATTGTAACAAATAGAAGTTGTCTTCAACTTCTATTTGTTGTACCTATTGGTATTTAGAAGATTTCAGATTAAATCTAAACCACAAATAATGCTTTCTTTACTTCTGTAGATAATTTTAATTTCCACAGGAATAGAATGAATCTCCTGATAAACTTGTTGTCATCAGTACATTTTTGTCTTAATGACCGGAGTAAATCATTTAAGTGAGTTTTGACTGTGCCGTTGATAGAGGAAAGATACAGCCAGCGTGAAGTTTCCAGGAAACAGGGTGATCACCATACAAATATTGGAAGAGTTCTAAGACACTTCAGAAAATCTAGACAAACTCTAGAAGAGAAGTATATGGATGGCCTAGGTGTACTGAAGTAATACTGCTACAGATTAAAATATAGTTCATATAAATTCTTCAGATAAATATATTTATTTAAAAATAGAGACAGGGAGGAGAAAGGTAGGTTCACATGCAGTATGCCTCCTCACATAGCATTATCTGGTAGCTCATTTCTTTGTGGATGACATTTCTTTGGATGGGTGTACAAGAGGTCACAAAGGTAATTGTGCAGCAAAATTGAAGAGGTTAGTTAAAGTGTCATTTATTACCTAAATTGGGCGAGAGATTCGCTTTATGGGAGATAATACTAGACCAGGAATGGTGAAGGTGTATCTGATTGAAGTTGGGATTGAGCGCCTGGTGTGGTCATCAGGGTCCAGACTTAAACCCAATGAAACATGTCTGGAACGACCTTAGGAGAAGAATGTTAGGCACCAATGCTATAGAGGAAAGACCAGGCCCCGAAATTCGAATAAAGTAGATCTCTTTAAATAAATTTAAGTGGCTCCTTAATTTTGTCCATCAGTGTACTTATAGACTAGCCAGGGGCAACCATCCTCCCCAAGGCCGATGGCGCATAAACCTTCCCACACCTCTACCAAGATATTTCATTGTTCTCAGCTTCTTAAATACAGTGTAAACAAAAGTAGAATTTAAATATTCGTAGATTGTATACAGTTACGCATCCTGCAGCCTATACCATGCTTCCACTTATCTTTTGATTTGAAACTTTTCATTTTGAAAATTTACAACCCCATCGAAATATGCCCCTATCATAAATATTGATGTCACAACTTACGCCACAAAACTCCCTTCTGGGCACCCCTGAGACTAGCTACAATTAGTAGGCAGCCCAAATACATCGTAGCATTAAGTTGAAACTATTATTTTGTTTTTTCCCAGACATCCGACATTATTTTCAAATGTATACATAAATTAGATGACATCCTTTTCAATCTGTATATATTTATGAATATTTTGTAAGTAATGTCGAAGGTTTAGCGAAAAAACAAAACCTGAGTTTCAACTTAGTGTCGACGACTTCACTCCTCCCAAGCTGCCAACGAATCGTGGACGAACGATAGTAATTTCTACATTTTTCATATTTAGTATATTTTTCCAATAAACAAACGATAATTATTTATTATATTAAATTTTGGGCTGTGGAAAAACTATTTTTTTTTTTTTTGTAAATATTTTTCAAAGCGAGCTTATTTAAATTTCAAATCTGGACCTCACCATTTGAAGGAAGTTCGAAAAAGAAGAATTTCAAACACTAACTAATGATATTTGTGCCATTTTGATTGAGGACTGTTGCCACTTTTCGGTTAAAACCGTAAGTCCGTCACTAAAAAAGTGATACCAGCTTTACACCTCTAAGCGAGCTCTGCAGAAACCGAAATAAATGAAAGAAGGAGCAACGTCTGTGCTAGATGGTGGATGCACCAAAACTTCCCAGCCATGCTTTCTCAATCTTTGTCGGATCAATTTATTGGTAATAGCTAATATTATTGAGCTAAATATACACCTAAATATTAAGTACAATTGATTTCAGTTCATCAATTACATCCATATTTATCATAATCGCGAGTCACACTTTCAATTAAAAGTCATAAAATAAAAAGGAGAAGTGTCAAAGAGATCATAGTCGTCCTAAGCAATTGAAGTTGTTATTCATCTCAGACCACGTGTAAAGAATTAAGGAGTGTTCATTCAGATATTCCGGGATAACTTGTTCATGAACTTTAGCAAGATGTGGTAACAGGCTGTCGGGTCTGTAATGGGTCCTCAGAGAGACGGGGATATATACACTGACCGAGAGCATGTTCCCCGAGCTAATGAGCAGATAGAATTACCCACATTATAAGAAGTTCTTATACCGGCGGAAAGATGCGGTAGGCCCTACACATTTTAATCTGGGAAGAAGAGAAGGAAGCTAAGACAAGCTGCAGCTGTTTCGAGGACCGGCTTCATGTGGAAAATGGAGAAAAGAAAAGTGGAGTTTGTGGGCTTGTGCACAAAAACAAGTCTACACTTCATAAGTAATAATGCTAACAAACATTGCCTATAAGGCAATGCAGGGAGAAGGAAAAAAAAAAAGGTGTGTAATGGTTAGCATTGTCTCCAGACATTCTCGATTTGAGAAATGTAAACAGGATAGCATGTTAACATTTGTCGTGGAAGCATCCTAGTATCAATAACATTATTATAGACTAAATGATTGCTCAATATATCGTTGGTTTATTGCAAAAAGTCACTAAATGCATTTTTGATTTAGGTTAACTTTCAAATATCTTTTTGTGAATTCCGACCTTATTTATATATTAAAAACACACCGTAATTGCATGCAAATGACAAAAACCCATTTATTTGTTATATATAGTTAAACTAAGTGCAATATTTTCTGATTTCATAGAAGAAAAAATCATCGAAGTTCATAATTATTTGTTGTTATGAAATGGTCATTTAATGACTTTTTGCAAAAAAATATCAATATATTAAATTTTTGGGAAGGAATAGCGTTTTGCCAAAATTTGGTTTATAAAATTTAATGTTTCATCATCGGTGATAATACTGTGGTCAATCTATCGATGGTGACAGGATCCTCTTTGGCATATTTAAACAATATCACTTTATTGTGGGAAACCCTTAAGTTACCTTTAGGTACAAATATCTTCAATTACAAAAAATGATTATATTAAGCAACATTAATGTCTTAAGTAAGATTCTTATTATTTGCGAGATTTTTCAGAATTAGTGTGCTATAGTGTATCAGAATAATATTTGTGCTCTGAGACTAGTTGTTAAAATTTTGTTTTATATAATTAAAGAAAAAATAAAATAAAATTTACAAATCATTCTAAATGAATCAAATTTATTATTCATCTTTGTAACTACAGTCGATTCTACTCTATTGGGTTACCTTAAGTCTTTATGTTTTGCATCAATGAAGCTAATTTTTCAATTAATGAATGCTGTTGAAGTTTTTATTATTTAATTATTTCATAACAAATTGTGTATCATTATCAGCACCTTCTTTAATTTTTGTTTAACGTTATTCCTTACATTTATAACCTTTAAAGGTTTCTGGATTATTTCCACATTTTCAGGATTTCTCCCATCTAGGCTGCTTCAATAAGCAGTGAAATTAATCAATAAACTATTTTTTATCATATTTCATAGAAAATACTTTAATGAAATGGTTTTTTCAATTATGTGATATCTCAGTAGAGTGAAGTCAATTGCAGTTTGTTCTCTATGAAGGAATATACATTGTTTGACAATTTTTATTGTTATCAATTTCAGATAGGTTGAGTGGGTTTGTGAAATTTTCAACTCTCGGAGCTTTACAAATTGAACATAAGTGGATGGAGAGGTGAGCTAAACTTTGTACATTAATAGCTATGTGAAATCTGCTATTATTTTCAACATTTTTAAGGTTTGGAATTTGGTCCATTAAGTTTTATAAGGAAAGTAATGGCCTTCTAATGGTATTCAATTCATATACTATGCGGCTGTGAAACATTTTAAAAACTAGTTCCCCTTAGCTTCTCTAAGAAGGCAGCCGGTTTCATGATCATCCTGAGCACCCTATTTCAAGATTATTGATGAATACCTAGGGTAACCTAATATTGATAATACTGTTTCTTCCGATATAGCTACCTTAACTAAATGAGTTTTTTAGGTTAGGTTAGATTTTATTTTCATTTTTATATGTAAAATAATGAAATAAGTATAAATAATTGAAAGTAATGGGGGAATAGGGGAAGAAATCCAAAAAAGGATCACAAATGGTATAAAAGCAGTGAGAATGCTTAATTCGTTAATCTGGAGCTGCAATATTTTACTAAGAACAAAAAAACTAATAAACAAAGCTTTGGTAGAAAGCTTAATGTTGCATGGCTCAGAGACATGGCCCCTCAGTATGACCCAGGGAAAAAAATTCCTTTCAGTTGAAATGGATTTTTGGAGGAGAGCTACAAGAATATCAAGGATTGAAAGGGTAAGAAACACCACTATAAGGGAGAGATTGGAAATAAAGCAAAATATCCTAGAGGTAATGGAAGAAAGGAGATTCAGGTGGTATGGCCATGTGAGAAAAATGGGCAATAATAGGATAACAAAGGTAATTATGGATTGGAAGGCAGAGGGAAGAAGAAAGAGAGGAAGACCTCCCAGTTAGATGGAAGGATAGAGTGGTGGAGAGTATGGCTGGTAGGGGACTGTCGGAGAATGATACGATGGACGAGCAGAGATGGAGAAACTTGTTAAAGAGAAGGAGTTTGGTTGAGGAAAACGTCATATTGAAGAAACTCCTAAATAATAAAATAAGTATTAAGAAAAATTTCTTCTGCTAAAAAATAAGTTGATATAGCTGGTTTGACTGTAAAATTAAATAGAAACAGGGAACAGAAAAAAAATAGGTGTAATAATACAACATGTATAGAAAAACTATGCTTAATAAAATATGATAAGGAGAAAATTTGAATCGCTGTGAAATATAAGGGTTCGTAATTATTGTTGTTTGTAATTTCTAATCCAATAATTAGGTCAGGAATCCTATAAATTACATTTATTTCAGTTTCTCAACAATTACCGACTATTATAATTGAGTAAAACTTCCCTTTTAAAGTGGTAGTTAATTTACAATCAAGAGTTGGGGATCGTTAGGCTTCTCCATCTTTTTTCAGACACATTAAGATATTTTTAGGAATCTTGGAATATTATGTTCTGAGTGATATTGAAACTAGCCGCCATCTTAGGGTAGCAAAAGGGAACTATTTCCTCATTTCTTTGGTTTTTCAACTGCATTCAGTGTATAGAAATAATGCAATGTATGCAGAACCGAATGATGCTTAGTTGCAAATAACATTCTAGCATATTCTTAAATGATTTCAGTTTCTCTTTTATTCTAATATATAATAAATGTGAACTATAACATTTGTGAGAAGATTGGTTGGGATGATTAATGAAAAAAAAATAAATAAGTATATTTATTTTTCCATTTTTTTTTCTGATCACATCAACCAATCTTTTCTTCAATTATTCGCAACAGTCAATCATCAATCCATAATTATAACATTTGTACTCTTGTGTTATATTTTCATTATTTGTGGCTGTTTTAGGGCTAAGTAGCCAAACTGCAAAAATGAACTACTTTATTAATTAAATGTAAATATTAACATATTAAATGTAGTTAAAAGTGAAGGAATGTCCGCAAACTCTTTGTTTAGGAGATGGATTATATAGAATATTAATATGGCCTTTTATCCTTAACTGTATAAAAACTATTGGCAACATAATTAGTAATACTACTTAGACTTAGTAATGAAAATCTTTAGGTTTGAATATCTCCTAAACAAAGCGTTTGTGGACATACCTTCAGAGGAAATTTTTTTCTTGTTTTGAGGTCCTTAATTAATATTTTCAATTTGTCCACTTAACCCTGAAACACCCTGTATAGTGAACATACGTGTGCCTTGGGTTTCTTATTTTCAATGCCCCAACATTTCTAAAATGATGATTTTTTAAAAGTTCAAAAAAGAGTATTAGTCATTCTTTAAAGATGCTGTGTTAATTTCTAAATTATTTTATTATCACATTTTGACTTTAAAATAAAAATAGATATTTTTTTTAGAAACAGATTACTATACACCAATCAACTAATAATTTTGAGTATATCTTTGTAATTTTTTTTATAAACTATTATTTCATAAAGTAAAGAATTTTTTTCTTTAAAAACAGGCCAAAGCTCACCAAATATATACCTTATCACATAATATAGTATTTATTTGACGTTTCAGCTTCAGGAGCCATTTTTAAGATCCTGCAAACTAATTTTAATTTAGTTGTTATACTTTAACTATATCATTATCAAACACATATTAATTTTATAACAATCAGTTACATACACAGTCTAAATTCTATTTTATAAAAAATTTTTATAACATAACATTTTGGTTAAAATTAATGCAAAATTTTTTATCTATCTATCATGCACCGCTTCATAAAATGTATCATTATAATATAATTTGTCGATTTTTCATTCTAAAATTACATTCATTGAAATAAAAGAATGACAAACCAACAAATTATATTATAATGATACATTTTATGAAGCGGTGCATGGTAGATAGATAATAAATTTTGCATTAATTTTAACCAAAATGTTATGTTATAAAATTTGTTTATAATATTGAGTTTAGACTATGTATGTAACTGATTGTTATGAAATTAATATGGTTTGATAATGATATAGTTTAAAGTATAACAACTAAATTAAAATTAGTTTGCAGGATCTTGAAAATGGCTTCTGAAGCCGAAACGTCGAATAAATAATACATGATGTGATAACATTTGGTGAGCTTTGGCATATTGTTTTTAAAAAAAAAAAACTTAAATTATTCAATAAACAGATTTAAAAAAAAAAAGAAAGTAAAGAAAAATTACTTTTCCAACTCTAAAATAGTCTTATCAATATTATAATAAAAACGGAGCGGACCAGAGGTGCCAAAATCAACTGAAAAGTATTCTGGCTGTGCAGCCTACTCAGTGTTGCCAAAAATCCTGAATTTTCCTATTCTCAGGATGCCCCAAGATACACTTATTTGCCCTATATGATTAAATAAAAAAGTTCTTTATTATTCTGGGACAAATTCCCTTAAGATTAAAATTAATATAATACTACGTAGTGTCAAAACTCAATAATATAAATAAAACATTGTGGCATTAATGCATGATCAAGTGTATCTTGTAATTGTCTTTAGTTTTTCAGATTGATTGATGTTCATGGTTACTACTGTTTCTATGGGTGATGTTATAAAGGCTAAAGCCTTCTTTTATAAACAGTGTATCTAAACAATTTTTCACATCAGGCTGGCAGTTCCTGAAATTGGCGCATTCAGACAATCAAGCTCTTTATCTTTACAATATATGGAATGTAAAATATATATTAGAAATATTATGGAGTGCTTTTGTGAATAATAGTTATAATCTTAAAAAAATAGCGAATTTGTTTAGGTTTGTATGAATTGCGCGCTTATCAACTTTTCAAACTGTTACATTGAATAATTATAGTTTGGAACATCATCACTCCTCATGGAGGATTGAAAAATTATAATTAATTCATTTCATGGAATTTAATCTAACTGATCATCCTGGCAGTTCTTGTCTGGCCTTCAAACTATTGCCCTGATGTCGACCTACATTTTTGGGTTGAAACGTCAGCAAACTCAATTAACATTATTTTTGACTGCATTGGCATCTTAAATAATTCAGGATTAACAAATATTTGAGATTATTGAATGATATTTGTTGAAAATAAAAAACAAATTTTTTTTGTACCTTCTTTTTACTCATTGTTTTTCCTAATAGATAACAGTCAGTTCTAATTAACATACCAACTGCCATCATGCACTAAATTTTTTTTAAAGACAAAGGTTTTTAGTGTGAGGTTTTCGATATGTATCTGCCATAGAAATGTTTTGACATGTCAACTTTTCCTCTACAGATTTTTTTGTGCAGCATAACTGGTATATAAATTCTTAAACAGAAAAATAATAGAAATAATGTAGAATTGAAAATATTTGCCCAATATAGTTATTAATTAATTTAAATTTAGTTGTACATTCTTTAATTTATTTTTAGTCGATGGGTACCACCGAAGACAAATGCAACCCTTCTTAATTTACCTGATTACACATTCTTAGATAACAGGCCCACACCATACGGTGCAAGACAGCGCAGAAGAATAGAAAAACAAAAGAAGTATACAGTAAGAATGATTTTAATACTTATTTGAATATTATTGAAAACTTAAGTTTTATCTTGTACACTATGTTTTATAATTATTGAATAACTATTGTTATTGATTTTATAACCAATTTATTTTTCAAAATGATATACCTGAGCATCAATTTATAAAGTACCCATGTCTGTTTTATTATTACAATTTTTTTGTTTAAATAAATCATTTGTTCTTAAAATGGTTTATAGACTATATCATTTAATATAGCTTTAGAGAAGTTTAGCAACCCTTTATGATATTAATGTGCAGTTGTTCTTTGCTCGAAGAAGTTCTCTTAATTTCATGTAATGTAGCTGCTGAAATAGGTTTACACATAAATAAGAAAGCCGAATATTGAGATAATGTTAAATATATCTGTAGTTAATCTAGAATGATGACTGAATTGGTTGCTTCAATGTTGGTAGTTTATGTATTGGCAAGTCATTAATGTTTTGTTATAATCTTTATTTTTAGTTTGACCGTGATAAGTTAACAACACAAGGGTGAACTCATATATAGCACTAAGTTGAAACTCATTATTTTTTCTCTAAACCTCTGATATTACTTACAAAATATTATATTATATATATATATATATATATATATACACACACACACACACCCATATTTTTGCATATACAGCAAAATAGATACTCTCGTATTACCGGTTTTCACAAATCCTCATGGGACATAGTGATTTTCAGACCAAACTGCACAACTTATACAAGGATGTTGATCTCCTTTGTCCCAGTTGTGGCATTCCTGGAAACTTCTAGATAGCTCAGGGATCTGAGCAGTTTAATCTTGCTGCCTATAGGCAAAGGCTGGGGCCAATTGACTGAGTAATTCCTGATGGACAGAGGTCTTCCTTAAATTTCAAACATAAGAATTATCTTAGAAACAAAACCCGTATTCTTATAAAGTAAGGTAAGGTGTAAATAAATTCTTTCATTCGTTTATTGCTGGGCTCTACAGTCCTTGAAGAACCATGGCCTCTGCTAAATTCTTCTTCCACATATCCCTGCAGGGAAGCACCTCCACTGCTTTAAGTGTAAATAAATAAAATATATATATTGAAAGACGACATCGTAATATCTTAATTTATGTATTTAATGGTACATTTGTAAATAATGCCAAACATAAAAATAACATGTTTTTATAATCATAAAAACAATATGTTTCAACTTTTTCTTGACTAATCCTTAGGAGACCCAAACATTGAACTGCTACCTCCTTGGTTTGTAATTAATTATTGTTTTCATCATTTAGTTACAAAATCTGTATAATGTTTCATTTTCATGTTATGTATAAAACGTGTGTCAATTTTCTGTAAATTGTAATTTTAGAAATTTTTGTTTTATTTATTCCAATTATAGAGCCTAATAATAAGTTATTTAATGGTTAACTGAAGTTAAAGCAATTTTTAAAAATTAAAATAACAGTTATGATGTTACTTTTTTTTAGGCTAGAATTATTCAATTGACTTCTGAAATGGATCTTGCAATGAACTTGTATAGACAGAGGGAGGCTGCTAAGCAGGCTATTATTGATGATAGAATAAGCAAGAAGCTGACAGAAAAAGGAATTAAAACAGTTGGAGATTGAAACAAGATATAATTTATTTCTATAATAATAATTACATTAAAAATAGAACCGTATAATAAAATTTACATCCATGTAATATTTATTTTCTATTTATAATATAAATTTCAATACATCTGTTATCTTTCTTAGTTGTTACCTCTCATGATTTTTATGGAACATCATAAATGTATATTGTCAGACCACCAAGTAATATATCTAACCATATACTTAAGTCTCATAACTTATATAATTATATACAATTGAATATAGATTTAGAGTTAAATGAATGGTTGAACTACTAACATAGACAGAAAATGACTACTGATTGAACACAGATTAAATAAAATTGATTAGCTAACTTATTGAATATTTAATATAGAGCAAATCTTGCCCCAAGGAAATCTTTATCTTCCTAAAATGGCAAAGAATATTATTTAAAAAACATTATTAGTAGGTCATACCAGACAAATATCATAATCAGTGAATATAACATTACTTTATTTGTAAAAAATCTAAATTACCTAATCAGAACTTTAATAAATATTTTGTTCCATTAAACTAATTAGGTCCAGTTATACATATTTGATTGAGGACTGGTTTTATAACCAGGGTAACCAAGAAGAATAATTTTTTTTTTTAACAAAAATATAATTGAGTTATGAAACATATAAATTGAAATTTCTGTCACAAATGATGTTTAATTCATACAGATTCTTACTTTTGTTGATGACAGGCACTTATTTGTAAGGATTTGAAAAATAATATTTAACTTAGTAAATCTGTTAAAGAAAGCAAAACAACAATGTATTTTTTTCTCAACTAGAATATTTTTATTTTAAAAATATATCCTTAGCTTACTGCTATATATTCTCTTTACAAAATACACTTTTATTATATATTATCTTACATAAAAGAAAACAAAAATGTTGAGTTGATTCATGGAAAAACATAACTTCACTGGTCGACAATTCACTCTTAGATGCAAAAAAATAAAGGGATTGAAAAATTCATGTAAAAATAGAGAAATATACTATACTGATGAAAGAAAAACTCAAGATAAGCAAAATCTAGTATTGGAAATTGATTATTTAAGGATTGATAAAAAATTTTGGTTAATGATTATCAACAAAGATGTACTGACTCTTAAAGTAACATATAGAGATTATTATCAGCAGACAAAAATAAAAGAGGTATACATTTGGCACAATACAGACACGAAGCAACATATTTTTTATTAAAATTAGCAGCGCCAAGATGAGATAATACAATGTTAAGAAATAAATAATGGTCCAAGCTTCCATCTAGAATTTGTGATATGGAAGACATAATAGAACCTAAATTAATAACTAAAAATAAATATTTCACTATTTCCTTTAATTAAAAAGAAAAATATTTTAACTCATATAATATTAAATATTCAACATCAAAGTATTACATAAAAAAAAAAAAGTAATTAAAATTAACAGCAAAGATTTATGAAAAACTTTTAAAGTATAAGTCTTACAAGTTAACAATGGAGATATAACACAAGGGTCATATAAAATAGAAGGCTATGAAAATCTATACCCTGTAAGTTAACTTAAGTTAACAGTGGATGATGCCTGTTCAAGGAGACGCTTGCGCTTGCGAGTATAATGTTGCCAAAATAGCACCTCCTGATCATCAATAAATTTAGAACATTGTGCATTGGCTAGCTCTTTTCGAAAGTATTCTGTCTGTAAGAGATCAAGGAAGAAGAGACAATATGGATATTTTAAATGCTTGGCATACTCTGGCTCTCGCCAGTACTCCAAATATTTGAGGTAGTTAACAAAAGCTTGGTCCTTAAAATATCCTCGTTGTGCCAAAAAATTTAAATAATTCGGATTCGCAAGGCATTGCACAAACTCCAGTTCAACTTGAAAGCGGATCTTATCATCATCTACAGTCATTTTACTTGAGACTAAAATGTATAAGCAAAAAAGAAGGAGAAATGAAAAGGACCATCAAACACAGTAACTTCATTAATAAGTTTACGTTAGTAGCTAAACATTAGTGTTAAAACCATAACTTTACATGAAGATGTAGAATTTCGACTAACGGTGTAATACTGCAGAAAAATTAGGAATAATTTTGCATGTTATGAAAAAAATCTGAATCAATCAAGTAAAATTAAAAGTTGTTGATAATTAACTCATATTTTCCCAAATGCTGATTATAATTTCAAGTCGAAAAACTACGTAAAAACATATAAAAAGATAAAAATGGAAACCTACCTTTTATTATCCCTACATATAAAAAAAACAACTTAAAACTAGCCAGAAGTATGACATACAGTCTTTAACAATAATAAACAAAACGATAACTGACCAGAAGGTTACATTGATGAAGGTTAAAAACCGAGCTAAGCAGTGTTGCCTGGGGCCTCGGGCAGTTGTTATAAATTAACCATTTAATTTCATAATTAACATCAATTTTTTAGTTGTACATTAAAAATGATTAACTAATAATACAATTTTATCAAGCAGTCAGAAAAATGAGAAACGGTTTTAAGCCCTAAATTAATGTTTGTCGTAGTAAGGATGGCGTACTGTTGGAAGAGGGTTCGCAAGTGATGAATAGATGGTTAGAGTATTTTAGAGAAATACTAAATGACAGCAAGAATGAAAATGACAATGAGAATATCAATGATGTCTGCGACCAGATATGAAAGTCGATCCTGATATTGAGCCGCCTTCCATTGTGGACGCATTAAAAGTATTAATGAATAACAGACTTTCTGGAGAGAACACTATATCGGCAGAAATTATGAAGTATAGTGGAGATTTTTTCCAATAGAGATTGTATAATCTGAAGCTGAGGGTATGGCTTGATGAGGAAATACCTAAGGAATGGTGCTCAGGTTTAATTTTCCCAATATTCAAAAAAAGTGATAAAATGCTATGTGAAAACTACCAAGGAATAATTCTTTTAAATATATTATAATATCGTATATACATTTTTATTTTAATATTTTAATTTTAAATGTTGAATGTAAAGTAGAAGAGGAGCAAGCAGCTTTTAGACCCCAACACAGAACCACATCGTCTTACTAAGGACAATTATTGAGAAGTCATGGGATAGAGGAAAGAGTTTATACTTGGCATTCCTGGACATAAAGGCAGCATTCGATTCCGTGCTCAGAGAGGAAATATGAACAGCTTTAGCTACCAAAACGATAACCACAGAATTAATAAATGCCATAAATTCTACCTACCATGACTCCAAAGCAGTAGTTAGAATTAACGGAAGAATGTCTGAGAGCTTTACCATGAGAAGGGATGTTAGACAGGGTGACAGCCTTAGTCCTCTCCTTTTCATAATATTTATGGATGAAATATTGAGAATATGCAAGCGGAGGTCGTGGGAAGGTGGAACATGAGGAACAGTCCTTGCTCAAGTAATGGTTTTCGCAGATGATATTACTGATTCCAAAGAAAATCTACAGAAGGCAGTTACTGAGTGGGAAGTTGAGCTAGAAAGGGCATGATATTAAATGTTGGAAAGAGTAAGGCGATGCACATTGGTCGTGAAGAGGAGGAAGTTTTGGTTTGCTGCAGAGGAGAAACCTTGGAGACAGTGCAGGAATACACTTATCTTGGAGTAGTATTCAGCAGAAACGGGAAAATGGACCAAGAGCTCTCAAACAGGATTAAGAAAGCTAACAGCATATACTACCAGCTATGCAGCACAGTGTTGGGGAAAAGAGAATAGGAAAAAAGTGTAAAATTATGTATATTTAAGTCCCTATACTTACCTACCCTTATTTATGAAAGTGAGAGCTGGGTCCCGTAGGACAGTCACAGGAGTAGAGCTACTGCTGCAGAAATGAATGGAAGGCAAAACAAGGAGGGACAGAGTTAGGAGTGAAAGGATAAGAGAAGACCTGGGAGTGCCAGCTTTGAGGGAAACAGTCGAAAAAAAGCAGTTGGGCTGGTTTGGTCATCTATGCAGAATGGATAAGGACCCGGATCCAAAGAAGTTTTTTGAGATCAGGCCTAACGGACGCTGTCATCGAGGAAGGCCTAGATTGCTATGATGGACCACATATCCATGATTGGTGAAAAGAAGGGAAAGTCTATGAATTCTATAAAGGCCTTGGCTCGTAATCGGGAGGCTTGGCAGTCTTGGATTGGGGCACTTCCAAGCTGAGAGGCACAAAGAAAGATGATAAAGAAGAAGATATAAAATTGTATCAAACCTTCTGGGGCAAAGACTAAAAATTTATTCAGAAAGAATCATAATGGATTACCAGTTTGGTTTTCGGCCTAACGGAATTACTATCGATCAGATTTTTATTTTATCTAAAAGTGTTATGAGCACAATATTGATGTACATTCACTGTTTATAGATTTTAAAGAAGCCTTTGACTTAATTAAAAGAACTCAACTATTTAGTACATTGTGTGAATATAACATCCCGTTTAAACTAATCCATCTAATTGAAAGCTAAAGTACTAACTGGCAATCTTCCAATTTAACTCTAGAGTAAGGCTGGGAGACGCACTCTCAGCAATTCTATTTAACTTGGCGCTACATATTGCAGTTAAAGGGATCTCTCCAGGTGGTAATTTAGCATGCTGAATAAGACACATATTGGGATATGCTGACAACATTGCAATTCTAGGTAGAAGCGAGGCGGCAATAGTTGAGGTTCTATCGGCATTTGTTGTAGAATGTAAGAGGATTGGACTGATAGTTAACAACACAAAAACAAAGTATATGGAAGTCTTGGCCTCAGATTTAAGGAGAAAGCCAGAAGGTTTTATTTTCCAGGAATACATTTGTGATGCAGTGGAGGATTTCACGTATCTTGGGGTGCAAGTCAATAGCAAAAACATGATTAGCCTGAAAATAAGAGGAAGAATGATGGCAGGCAAAAGAGCGTACTTTGGTATGTTAAATTTTTTTAAATTGACAGTCCTATCTAGGGTCACAAAACTTAAAGTGTACAAATCCTTGTCTGACCAGTTGTGCAATTGTGTGCTATAGAGGTGAAGCCTGGACACTGAAAGTAGCTGACAAGAAGGCACTAAGGATTTTAGCAAGAAAAATTATGAGACAAATTTTTGGTCCCCTGTGCGTACAAGGGGAATGGAGGATAAGGAAAAATCAGGAGCTGGATGAACTATTGAAGGAAAAACATACTGTACGCTTTATTAAGGCTAGAAGAATTAGCTGGCTAGGACATGTGGAAAGACTGTCTGATGACATAGAAACGAAAAATATACTTAGGAAGGAATTTCCCAAAAAAAAGAAAAGAGGACGACCGAGGAAATGTTAGAAAAGTGATGTGGAAGAGAATTTAAAGAGGATGGGAGTGGTGAATTGGAGGAGAAGAATGAAGGATAGAGAGGATTGGAAAAAAGATCGTGAATGAGGCCAAGGTCCACCTCGGACGGTAGAGCCCATCAGTAAGTAAGTAATTAATTATAAAACACTGTTTTTTTTAAATTGAAGTTAATTTATTGATTTTTTTTATTTTGGGTGTTATTCTCACCAGCTCGTTTACTGTTTCTAACAAGATAGTGATTCGATCTTTTGCAATAAGTCAGTAAGTCCAGCTCCCAATTGAAAATTAATACCGAAATTCAGTTTCATTGCATTTATCCTCAAACAAGCTCTTCAATTTCTCATGTAATTTTTGTAACTATCCAGATATAATGTAGAAATTTCCAAATGCATCTTGAGTAGATATAACAAAACTAAAAGTGGAATTAAACGTAAGCTGCCTCATTATGGATTAAACCTATAACACTCTGAATTACACACTAAAGTACCCTTGAATCCTCTAAATTCATAAATTTTACTGATTAATTTAATTAATACATATTAAGCTATAATAAAACAAATGTAAAAGTGTTTCATAAATTATAGACCATATTTGAGAGATCTGAATGGTAAATTTATGAATGAACAGCCATGCTTCCCACTGTTTCAGAGGAATGTGTTCAATTTTCACCTCTACTGATAGTTTAAATAAGGCAATAGCTTAGCATAGGTTTCTACAGATAGGGAAATTATGTAACCCCCCCTTCACCTCTGCTGTGTTATTAGCATTTATTATTGTTATAATGTTTATAGTAATATTATTATAAAAATGACCAAAGTATGGAAAGAACTAAGCTGCAATCAAATTTTTGTGTCCAAAATTTAAAACTCTTTCAAGCTAAAAACTATAGATAGTTGTGAAAGGAGACTCATATATATAGTACTAAGTTAGGTCTGTTTAAATACTTGTATTGCAGTCCCGAATAAATTGCTACTTCGGCAGGCACTCCCCATCTCCTATGCAACACCACTGCAATAAGAGTTTCCACACAGAATTTTCCCTATGTACAGATATGCTTTTAAAAAGCTAAACGAACAAATAAAACCAAATCTTTTGTACAAGAACATATCATACATCACCCGCTAATTACAATATTGATGGAACATCGAAATAGCAGATTTGAGATAATAGTGTTTGGATGTTTTGTAAAATTAAATAAAATATCAATCTTTTCCATGTTTCTCTGTTATTAACTCCATAGTATACATGTTTCTGATAACAATCATGACTTCAGTCACTGCTGCTCTCATCCATTTCCACAGGGCCTAGATTAGCTGAGCCGAGGCCTCTCCATATTATCTTCAAACCTAGTGTTGTAAAATTAAACTGAATCTGAGTTTCGTAATTTGACATAAATATATGTTGTTAAAAAATGAAATTTTTACTGGTATTTCTATTTCTAAAAGGTTATACGAAGGATAATAAATCAATTTTAATCCTATGAAATTTAAATGGTACCTAAAATATATTTAAACGATTCACATATATTGGGTCAATTTTTATTTAATAGAAGAATTATATGTTAGGAGAAAATGCTGAAAGAAGTTATTGCTATTCCCTTCCTAAAATAATTAATCTTTATAGTAATACTTTCCCCAAGCTTTAATTGCATAATGATAATAATGACGATTGTGGGTTGACGTTTGACTGTAGTGAATAATTGAAGAGAAGGATGGTTGGGCTGATCAGATAAAATAAAATAGTTAAAATAAATAATTGTATTTATTTTCACATTCGCCGACGGTTCGGTCCGAAGTTCAGGCCTCCATCAGGACTAAGAAAAGAACCAGATAACAATAGGTATGAGCAAGTAGAAACATTGAATAATAAAGAATTAAAATTAAAAAATATTAAAGGTATAGACTGAAAACTGTAGGTAGAAAAATTTAAAGTAAAATAAAGTAGGTAGAATGATATATGTTGCCGTTATTATTATTTATTTCTTAGTTCTCTGTTATTTTTATTATTCTACCTACTTTATTTTACTTTAATGTTCACTCTATCTACTTTATTTTACTTTAAGTTTTTCTACCTACAGTTTTTAGTCTATACCTTTCATCTTTTTAAAGTTTAATTCTTTATTATTCAATGTTTATAATTGCTCATACCTATTGGTATTTGGTATCTCTTTTCTTAGCCCTAATGAAGGCCTGAACTTCGGGCCGAAACCTTTGCGAATGAGAAAATAAATACGATAATAATGATGGTATTATTTTGTTTCTGTAATTCATCGTGAAGCAGGATTGTTATCGAAATATATTACAGTGCCTAATTTCTATGTTTTGAACTAATGCAGTGTCATTTTATGGAAATATTAATTTTGTACCTAATAATTGCTTTCATCCAAGAGCTAAAATGATTATATCTCAAGTTAATGGAAAATATTCAAATAACATTTTTGAGAGGATCATTATGGATATCAGATTATATTTTGCATTTTAATGAAAATTTTCATGTACAAAATTTTGTTTTTGGACATGGAATCTTCCAATAAAGTTGATCAGATACCCCTGAATTTGATCCTTCATAATTGGTTAATGGAATGTATGATTCAAAGATATTTTCGTTGTTTAATTCAACAGTGGCATTGGCAAGATGTAAAGATTAATAATTGTATTGCTATTGTAAATTAGTTCACAAATTCTATGGCAAATGTTTTGTTTACTTATTACTAAATGCCTATTGTTCAGGATCTACTACATCTCAAATACATCAGTAAAATCATACAGTCCTGTAACAAGAGGTACAGGAAACTTGAAGAGGTGCCAGAAGTGCAACTTTTTAATTACCTTGGAAGGCCTTATGATCAGGACTATACTTCAATTTCCTGGCTAATGCATCAATCATGTAAGGGGTGAGTCCACTCAGATGGATCTGTTCAATTACATTCCCCTCTCTAAAGATTTATTTATTTTCTACCAGGAGATGATTTCATAAGCCAAATCAGAATTGGAACTTAATACAATCCATATAGGGGGATCTAGCACTACAACCACTAGGCTCCCCTACCATTATTCCCCATGAAAAATTGTATTCAAAATGACTTTCCTTCATTTTTTTTTAAATATTGTTTTTAATGTTAGCTGATTGTACAAATAAATTTAATAGTAAGTGAAGAATAAACAATTTTTGAAAAACGTTGTTTTTTTTCTACTAATTTTAGATTTTTTAAAATAATTTAATTCATAAAAAATGAATTCATAAAAATCCTATATATTTAATTTCAACATGGATATGTTTTTGATAACATTTGCTCATTATAAATGTCATCTATATGGTAGACAACACAAACATTATTTGAATAGACATCTAATTTGATAACAACTGGTTTTTCCCCTTCATTCAGCTATCAAATGGAATGCCACAAAAGGGGACCATAGTTAATAATATAAGGAAACTGCCCTCAGCCCTGGACTTAGGGAATAGGTCATAAGTGCTAGTCACAAATAGGCAAGTAGATGTAAGGGTATCCCTTACAAGATATGCAGATTTTCACAGTTTTTAAACTTGGAGTCCTCCTTGCCGAAGATCCAAGTAAAGACTTGTCGGGCCTTGACAGATGCACGCATCATCCCATGACTGTGGTACCAATGGCGACTTGTACTTGTTGGTCCTGGACTAGCTTCCTTTAGGCGGATTTGTGTGAGTATACCTACCAGTAACTCATCCACATTATGATTAATGCCGACTGAGACTTCAATAAACTTGCAGTTATAAGTACAGGCCACGCATCGTCCATCTGTAAACAAATATAATTTTGATTTAATAAATCATAATAAATGTATTTCCTACAGGATTAAGCAACGGTATTGTCAGATCAAAAAACTTTGATATGGATGGATTATTTTTTCTTTAGATGTTCTTATTAAATGATTAATTTCTTTCAAAATGTTGAACTACTACCAACAACCTGTTGGTGTCTTTCAGTTTTTCTGAAATTTGTTAATTATATTTCTTGGTAATTTATTTTCAATTTTTTAACATTTGATGTAAGTGTAATAATTAGATTACTTTTGATATATTCCAAAATGTCTCAAGTGAAAGGTTTTAATCAACTTGTTAACATTTTAGCAGTTTTATGTCTCAAATTGATTATTGGCTCATATTTTCTGATATAAGTATTTAGTATATAATTTTTCACTTGTAGCTATGCAATGCGTTGGTAACAAAAATTTCAAAAGCAAATTAATATTTAACCAAAAATAAGACCAAAATGGAATAATAAAAAAATTATTTAAGAGAATTAAATCTATTAATTTAAATGCTTACAACAACCTAAAAATAATTAAATAATTTATTTCTACTATTTATTAGATTTAATAAGAGGTGGGAACATTTATCATGAACAGGAATGTACTCATTTTCACATTTTTAATATGAATATCTCAGGTTTTTTGCAAAATTCATTTAGTAACATTTCGTGACCACCCTGGAAGAGACTACAAGATGTTTTTAGGAGAAACCTGCCTGGGATGTTCCATCCCAAGATAATGATGAGAAAAGGTTCATAAGAAGTACTATGGTATGTGCACCCGGTACAGACTTGTGCCTAACATGAGACCTCTATGCTGATGTGGATAGGCAATAGACTGACCATTCACCAGATTTATACTCCATAGACATAGCAACCCCAAACAATATCCCCCTACTTTGAACAGAGGCTCTTGACACTGTTCAATGATTTTCTGTACAGGAGTACTTTCCTAGAAAATGGAAAATAACTGCTGTTAGGCTCCTCTGCTAGGGAGGAGACGAGGACGAGCAATGAGCCTAAAGGCATCCCCTAAAGGCAGGGGAACCATAGATGCTGAGAGTCCACCGTGACGCTGGAGAGAAGGCAAAGAAGTATGTCATGCTTCTCCTGCTCGATACATCCTTCGCCTTCGATAGTCTTTGGTGGCTTAGCGTGCTCCAGTAAGTGCGAAAGAAGTTCCCACCAACTTGTATGACTTCTTGATGATCTATCCATAGGACCGAAAATTGAAGATACATACATGGCAGCTTCTTTGATGTGGAGGATTCTGTAGAACGATGATGTCCACAGAGCTCTGTCCTTTGGTCAGCCTTATGGAAATTGGTATTCGACCAGTTGCTGGGAGTGCTGGATGAGGAGCTGTTCCCCATCGCGGCCTAGTAGTAGAATATTGCGAGTAAAAGAAGATGGCGGGTGCCAAGACTCAATCCGTTCTTTTGAGAGGTAAGACTGACAGAGCCCACCCTATTATTCTCAATATTCAGGGAGAAACGATACTTCCAAGTGATATCACTTATCTTGGGATAAGGGCTGGCAGAAAGTTTAACTTTACTCCTCACTTGGACTATTTGGGAAGTAGGGTGGCTAGTTGTATTGAGAACCTTAAAAAAATATATGTATCAAGTAGTGAATGATAGTGAAAGAAATGAAATAAAGACAAAGATTAGTTATTAATTATTAAATTGATAATTACGTATCTATGTGTGTCTGCATTGAAACTTTTGAATTTTCAATATCACGTATTAAAAAAAAAAGATCACATTAATGAGTTTCAGAAGACAATACTTTATACACCAGAGATCATTAAAATAAAATGGAGCTGAAATGAAGAATTTTGAATGAAATATGAAGTTTGACTTATTGAGATTTTTTGATGGAATTCCGGTTTGAATAAAGGGATCATCTTTTTAGGAATCAAAAGTCTTAATATTCCAACCTTTTAGAAAGTTTTTTTTTCTGTAGCGGCTACGACCATTAAATCCGAATAATTCATACAATTATTCAACAATCTTCTACTTTTAACTTTGAAATCTTTTACTTTTAAAAAATGTTTTAAAACCACATTCTTTGGTGATACATTTTGTTCCATTTCTTAAAATTTTAATAGCCCACTCTATTTACGCCTTTATGCAAATTTCGAACTCGATGACTTTTATTTGAAAAATGATTTAATTTCAATTACAAGTCAAAAAGTAATTCAGTGCTGAACTTCGTATCCGGATCCATACAGAATCAGTACTTCTCAGATGTCTCCCTATTTTTACAAAGAAATAAAATTATCTCCAAAAAAATGAATTAACTAACTCAAAGTTTAGAGAGAAACTTACTTTTAAAACTCCGCAATTTTATTTGTTTTACTCTACCGAACACACCCAACCTTCTCAACGACCTTACGAAAGACCCTTTATAAATTTGAGACTTGCAGTATCATTTAATTAATTAACTGTTCAAGATCTAGAAAATCTCCTCCATTTACTAGAATAAGTAAGTAGATGTGAAAACCTGTATTTAGAGATCTAATGTCATTTGTTCTTCTCATCAATTTTTAAAATAATTTTCGATGGTAGTATCTCTCTTTCCTCGATTAAATCATTCTCGCCAATTTCAGGTGGAGTTATGCTATTAATTTTATATTAAATTTTCAATATTGTAAAATCCGCTATGAATACAAAATAAGCTGTGAATCCGGCACGTATTTTTTATTGTTTGTCATTCATACGTCCGTGTCAGACATAAGGAATTTAAAGATTTTCTTCAATTCATCTATTTATAACGTTTTGAGTTTTTCGGTTGTTTGTATATACCTATATAGTTAGTTTGAAGATATGTAAGAAATCCGTGAAACAATAGAACAATATGAGATTTGTCATTCGTTCACCAACTTTTTTACCGAAGTTATGGTTCATTTATTTTAACATAGTCTCAATTACGTCAGTGTAGGATATAGCATATTAAATATCCCACAAGATTTTATGCCTAATATCTTAATAAACTTATATTTTTTTATTCAATTTCAAACAAGATTTCCGTTAGGATTCGTATTATAAAAAGAAAGAAAGTGAATTTTATTCTGGGACATTTTGTCCACTCCGAAAAAAACTATAATAAACAACGAAATGACAATTGTTTGTCATTAGAATACAATTAAAAATATATTAATTTACATAGTTGTCTGACCCTATTATTAAAATTTAAAAAAGATACTGTTGTAAATATATGATCTTTAAGCGGACATATGAATTTAAAGATAAATACATACGAGTGAGTTCACGTATTTGTACAAATAAGCAATATGGCACATACGTAGATATCTGCAAGATATCAGTAAAATGTGGCATCTCTAAAGTACAAAATAACTTTATTACTTTATACTTATACCTATATATAAAATATATAGTAAAATATATATATAATATTCGATCTTACGTTGGAAAAATTATATAAATTGAAAAATATAAATAAATTGAGTTTAAAAAAATATAGAATTCTACAATAGTATACTTTAACTATTTACTCATATCTGGTTTTATTAAACATATTAAGAAATAGTTAATTATTTAGAGTTGCATTATATTTTATACATTATATTTTACAATACATGAACATTTTAATTATTTTTTTTACATAAAAAATTAAATTAACAAATAGTTAGTATATGTAATATCGATGTTGAACGAGAAACCTTTGTTATGTAAAAGTGTAGTCTCGTATTTACTTGTATAAAATTTCCTCTTTCTCTTACTTAACTACTCCAATTATTTTTCAATTAGTTCGGTAGCGGATTTAATATTTATTCTATTTTGAGGGAAAGGTTTCAGCCCGAAAGTCTTGTTGAATCCGTTAATAGCTTTAGTTCAAACCAAAATTTTAAATTACATAGTTAGTGTCATAGTGTACTGTTTCAGATTTAAAAATAGATTAGGTTTTAGTGGCTCATACCATTTTTAAGGAAAAATATTCCACTTATATAAATTATAAGTGGAATATTTATATATAAAATATATAGTAAGGGAATTTATTGCGATCGTGTATGTTTTCAGATCTGGGTATTCAACGGAAATACACATTTTGAGGTCCCTTGAGTTGGTCCCCAGGGAAGAGATACTATACCTACTTGGCTACTATCCTGCTCCGAGGGGGCCTGTTAAAAGTTTTATCTCCTCAGCTAGCGGAAGTCGGCAGCTATGATCTACTTAAACCTTTAATAATTTCAATAGTCATTAATAATACCGTTCCTTAGGGCGGAGCAGTTCCTCCGCCCCGACCAAACTGCCATAAATATATTTTTGTTTAATGTTATCCAAGCTTCAGAAAGAAGAATTTTACCCATGTCATTATCGTCCTTTAAGGCCCTTTCTTCTGATTTATATCAGGTTCAGGCATAAGGAGGTTACTAACTAACTATATTAAATGAATTTGCTTATGCATAATTCCAGTGATTCACAATACAAAGAGGTACTTGGAATGCGACGAAGTACAAAATTAATGAAAACAAAATGATTTTCAAGTGGAATATTTTTCCTTAAAAATTGTTTGACCACTAAAACCTAATCTATTTTTAAATCTGAAACAGTACACTATGTAATTTAAAATTTTGGTTTGAACTAAGGCCATTAACGGATTCAACAAGACTTTCGGGCTGAAACCTTTCCATCAAAATAGAATATTAAATCCGCTACCGAACTAATTGAAAAAATAATTGGAGTAGTAAAATTGTATACAAATAAATACGAGACTACTCTTTTACATAACAAAGGTTTCTCGTTGAACATCGATATTAGATATACTTACTATTTGTTAATTTAATTTTTTATGTAAACAAAAATTAAAATGTTCATGTACTGTAAAATATAATTTAACTCTAAATAATTAACTATTTTTTAATATGTTTAATGAAACCAGATATGAGTGAATAGTTAAAGTATACTATTGTAGAATTCTATATTTTTTTAAACTCAATTTATATAATTTTTCCAACATAAGATCGAATAAAGAGACTCAGCATCCAGAGCTTTAGCTATGTGTTGCTTTCATTAAAAAAAAAGTTATGAAAGATAAAATCTAAATCAATTCGGAATTCCCAATGCCCTTAACAGATTAGCTCTGTATCGATATATGGATAAATTCGAAATCGATTCGCAGGACGCTACCACTAATTGGGCTAAATTGGTTTCCATTGTAAAGGGTGGAGTTTTGGATTTATGATTTTCTTCCACAGTTGTGCAAACAACACATTTTCCTCTACAAATTTGGAAGTATAAAAAAGAAACAATACATTAACAAATCATCATCTATTTTCAGGTGGAATATTGCAACCTAATTTGCAAATTAGAACCCAAAGGAATAATTCCTAACGTGATGAAGTCCGCTACCTAGTGTTGCCCAAATGCGAGAACGAGACGAGTCTTAGTCTTGCACACTCAGTCTTGGTCATGGTCTTGGTCTTGCGCAAGAGTTTTGCAACAGTCTTACAATTACTTATTTGCTTATTACTATAAAGATATTACTGTAATTTTTTAGATAGAAGAAACCTAACTAAGCCCGAATGAAAAATTAGAGGAGTTAAATACAAAAGTATATTGGTTATATTATTAACTAAGATTGTCGAATATTAATAATCATTTTGTCTCAATTTTTATTAAAAAATCGACTTTTCTTACAAGTCCTGGTCTTGGTCTTGCAACAGTTAGGTGGCCTAGGTGGCACTTTGCAAGACCAAGAAGATAGATTTTGGGCAACACTACCGGTACTCATCCTCCTCAATTTATTTCATATTATTAGTTAATTGTGAAGATATCTTATCACAATCTTTTTTAACTTTCGGTATGTATTGCCAAGGTTGTTTATTAAAGAGCTTGGAAAAGTTCAATTATTAGAATTGATTTGAGGTAATCTCGTACAATAAGCATGTGTTAGAGCAGAAAATAGAAGGAAATGGAGCAATAAGAGCAAGTGAAAAAGTAGAATTAGATAACGATTTTTTTTGGGGGAACTTGAAAAAATGATATAAAATGATATTTACTTCCGAAAATATAAACTAGAATCTTATAAAACGTAGGCTTGTAACGAAGAGGGGAGAGAGTGGGAAGAGAAAAGAGTGCTCTGCAGATTGTGCAGTGTTTTGAGATTGTGTACGATGTCGGTTTGTAATTGGAACGTTTATGTTATTTTCATATAATATTTTTGGTTGTTTCTGTAATGCATATTTCAAAATGGATTTTAGTAATAAATATCCAGATACTATCTGGATTGTGTTTGAAATCGAAACAAGAGAATAATTGTTGTAAGAAGAGGAAGAATAATTGTGATGAAGAAATATGTCATGTTTGTCACGGTGGTTATGTAGTACATTAGCGTTCCATAAAAGGATAGCTAGGGGCTTTGCACTGATCATGGAAAATTAAAAGGGATTTCGGTCAGGATTCAAGTGAGAAGGGTGGTATAAGGTTTTATAGTATCTTGTAAATCTGATAGGAAGGATAAAAGGATCGTAGTTATGTTTCTTGGATGTTGGTTATAAAGTTGATTTGGATTAGAATGCTGTGGTGGGTGATCAATATGGTTAGGAGTGATAGCTGCAGGCAGGATCCGTCGTTGTGTGCGAGGTAGGTCTGCATTCGACGGTATTTGTGCATATTCAAATTAAGCAGCATGTTTTTAAATTAAGGGTATAAGTCATCCTACCAAACGTAAATGTATTTTATAGAGTTTATCGTCTATTTTCAAACTTAATTTTATAATTATTATAGTTTATTATTACAATTTTTACAGAACCGATTTTACCTTGACCTAATTCCAATTCATTGAAAAAAGCTGATTTGATATTATTTATAATTTTATGGTTTAACTGCTTTGATTCTTGGAGCTTACAATAAATCTAAGGATAAAGAATCTAAAAGCTGGCAAGGCTCGCTGATTCTGCTCATCCTTCCAACTTTACACTTTGTATAACAACAACCAAATCGATAATGGAAAAATCGAGAAATATAAACATTGCTTGGAATATAACACTAAGTAACACGACGGTCCTATTTTTTGTGAGTTTACTATCAAAGACTGCAGAAATAATTACCCTGAGATGAAACTGCTCGGCTCCTCGCAAGGTCCACCTTGTTGGCGACGAGGATGGCCGTTTTGTACCTTGTAGCGGGCGAATGCTGGAGCCGCCGCAACATCGACTCCGCCTTGTCGAAGGAAGCCTTGTCTATGACCGAATACAGGATAAGGTATGCGTCTGCCGGCGAAGGGTCCTTCTCCATCTGCAAAAATATTAAAAATTTACTCTGGAAGGATATAAAATCATTAATGGCTAGACTGGATTCCTTAGTATTTAGGAGGATTAATGTGGAATATCCTGCATTTCCTACTTTGATTGTGGGAAATGTATTTTTCGGGAATATGTGGAGTCTTAAAAATGATTTAGCTAACCGCTGTTACTTAATATTTAGTTAAAGAAGTATATATTCTAGTTACAGAATATTGTATTGTATTAATTACCAATAAATAAAAACTTGCCGCCCCGGTCGGAAATGTAGCCACAAACTTTGAAGGGGAAGTGAAAGCCATTCTCTTAGGGCTTGAGAGATTAATTGAACGTAAAGACAAGAAAGTTGCTTTCTTTGTTGACTCACAGGCAGCCATTTTGTCTCTTCAAAATGAATATAATATGAATCTTAATGTCCTTAAATATTAAATATTTGAACCGATTAAAGGAAAATGGGACAGAAGTCGCTTTCCAGTGGATACCAGGCTATTGCGGGCTCCACGGAAATGACAAACTGGCCAGAATAGGTTTTGGAATGATCAACCAGATCTTCCTCTGGTCATGGATTCAACGAAAAGAATTATAAAACAGACGCTCCAAAGTTCACTAAAGGAGAAATCTGTGCAAACAATTGAAGGGAAACGATGGAGTGGATTGCTGGAAGAAAGTGGCAAGGTCCCTAGAGACCTCCCTAGAGGGCAACAAGCCGTGGCCTGCTTTAGAATGCTCACAGGCCATGATTTCCTTCAGAAGCACCTCCACCGCATCGTTGTAAAAGATAGCCCTCTATGTTCCTTGGATATGATAATAGGAGAACATGTTGATACATGCCCTGCATTACAGGGCATAAGATGTTCCTTTAGTGAAATAGACAGCCCTTATGCTAGGAGAGCAAAATTATATTGGACTGCATGAGCACGCATGGCGTAGGAAAAAAAAATCACATCAAGTTAACAACAAACAACTTAAAGTGAGCGAAAATAAAAAATTCTCCATAGCAATATCTATGAAAGAGTAGAAATTCGATTTGAGAACAAAATTCACCTTTAAGGCTCAAACTGCAAGGCACTTTCTGATCCCTCAATGTTTTTTGAAGGAGTCCAGCTCCTCCCCAAATTTTGTAGTGGTTTGATTAAAATACCTCACAAAAAGTTCAATAAACCATATGGGTAATAACTATATTACTCATCGCTACTATTAGTGCAGAAGGGCGTTTGTTAAAATTGATTTTTTTTCTTTTTTTTTTACTGAAGTTTAATAAAAACTTAATAAAAACTTTATGATTTATTAGTATAATTTCATATATTTCTTATACACTGATCTAGCGGTAGAAGAGGAATTGATTAAGAAGAAGAATTTCATATATTATTTCCCTCTGCCTTTTCCTATAGTAGCAGACTACTTAAAGCAGTTGCAGACAACAAATTGTCACCTTTAGTACAAATAGAATAAACATGTAAAATTGTTACATACGACCTTTTGCACCAATAGTAGCAATATATTACTGTGTTATATATATGATAATAAACTGATTATTGAAATCCTTTATGTATGGCTTTCCAGCCCCACTTTACACCTCCCATGCATTAAACACTGTTATCCTGCTGCATTAACCTTCAGTGCCGACCATAAGGCAGGGCAACCTAAAGAAATTTTTAAAAATACCAACCGTATGAGAATAATTAATTTCAGCTTATTAATAAACCAACTGAATTAGAAACATATTGAGATGACGTCAATACTTAGGGGAGGGGAGGGGAGACAAATGTTTATGGCTCTCCTTGGCCCTCCAATATTTCTTTGGTGCCAGCGACTATAACAGCAGAATACCTCAATAAGGGAAGGAGAAAGAAATAATAATATAAACAATCATAACTAATACAATTTAGAACTATAACAATAAGCTGAAAACAATGCGATCAATACGAGATTGGACGGAGAAGTATAGCCAATAAATAGGATATAATATAGTTTCGTTATTTATTTTTTATTATACCTTTAAATTATCAGAATAGTTGATTGTATAATACATTTTTCAACCATTTTCCTTTCTTTCATTTTCTTTTTTCAAACCAATTACTGTGGTGGCCTTTGAACTGTTACAGATTTATTCCGAACTCCTCCATAAAGGCCGGATACGAGGTTAAAACAGTACTCTCTTAATTGAATGACCTCGTCACTTACTATATTAATATTCTCCACGATTTAATTATATACCTTAAAGAAAGAAAGAAAACTTAGTAACCACATTTCGGCAAAATTTGTCTCACAAAGGCTGCCAAATCCGATTATTCCGTATATGAAAGAATAATTTCTCACCTTACAAAGAAAAAAGGAAATCTAATTTATTAAAAAAGTACATTCAAAAGGATTGTTCCCTACACGATGGAGATCTCGATATCTCAAAGGAAATGCCGTTTTAATACTTTTGTTTTGAAAGCAATTTAACCAATTTAAGAGGTAACCTCTTTACAGAACCCCTGGGAAGTTAAATCCACTTTTGTGTTATTTGAGACATAATCATTTTTTATGAACTCTTGTCTGAGAATCACATATTTATATGTTACTGAATTATTTCCATATTATTTTTATGTTTGTTTATATTTTAGATTAAATCATGTTTAATTATTTAAAGTAAGGCTGTATATTTTTCACCTAATTTATTTTAATTTTTCTTCTACTTCGGCTATGATGCCATTTTCAAGCCATTAGTTCGTTGGTTATAAGAAAGATATATATTTTTTTATTAAATGACTAATAAACAAATATTGATTATTTTATTTAATTACAACCCATAAATTAACATTTATTTTTAATATTTCATTGAAAAAAATCTCACACTCCGGAACGTGAAAAACGTAAACACACCAACTATTCCTCCCACTACTCCCGTTGCGAACTAGAGTATCCTATTTAGAAGATGAACCAGGATTCCACTGTTTTCTCTGCCTTTTCTAATGATGAAATAATACTTTCCTGGTTAAAAAAAAATGGAGTAATTTCTTAGAGTACGGCTGAAATATAGAACATGATCATTATATTTTTAATATTTATAATGCATCCTATCTCACCTCAGTTGCTATTGAAAATCTGAGCTCAGACTCTTCGCCGTTAAGCATGACGTAGACAGACTCCTCGTTGGTATCGTCTATAACAAACATTTCAAATATTACATTTAAATAGTAATAGTAAAATATACATGAAGAATATAAATAAAAAATAAAGAATTAGATTTATTATTTGTTGAATGAATTATTTATATACTACTCAACCTTAGAAATATCATTGTTGTGAAAGAAATATATAAATGTATTATTTTATATATAAAGATTGTTGTTTGTTTGTTTGGATGTCTAGGCGCAAAACATCCAGGTCATAAGCGCCCGATCAACTAAATAACATCACCTAATACTATTTGGATGGTTGGTACAAAAAATATAAATAAAAAAAAGGATAAAAAAATAAAGAAATGGATTGATAGAATAAGATAAATAAATAAGGATAATAATATATATTTATAGATAATAAGATAGAATAGATAAATAAATAAACTTTAATGTTTATATAAAGATAAATAAATAAATAGAATAGATAAATAAATAAACTTTAAAGTTTATATATAAAGATCACGTAAGTCTGTATGCTATTTATCTTTATATTAAAAAATTGAGAGCTCAATATTGAATAAACAACGTCACATTATGTTATATAAATCCACGTCGATGAATTGTTGAATTATAGACCCCTTCAGATAAGTTATTCAGATAATGGAGAGTGTTTGAATGAGGCATACTTTAATATTTTATGTTACTAAAGAATAGTACCACGTCACTAAGTATTTCATCATGTATTCACTATGTATTTCATCAATATAAATTATTTTAAGTTCGATATCAACAGATCATCAGACAATTTCAAAAACGAATAGTCGTATGGGAATGAAATCCCAATCCTCCGAAGTTGAAGTAACGTTTTCTCCAAAATTGACTAGCCGAAAGCGGCATTTTATTCAGAGATTTTTCTCACTTTCTTATCGATTCCATACTAATATTTAAAAAATCAATTATGTATGGAACTTACCGGTTTATTGCAAAAGGCCACCAAGTAGATTACCAACGATGTATATGTAAGAATAATAATTAAAGTTAATGAAAAAGATGTAGATTTTACTATTGCTAAACCGTTTCAGTATTTAAGTAAAAAACGTAAAAAAAAAAATATTTTTTTGACAAATATAACAAACATAACCTAATTTATAGGTTATCGTTTAATTAAAGATTTAGTTTTAGTAATTTTTTTTCTAAAAATATCTTTGGTAGCAAAGTAAGCCAAAAAGTAATAAAGATTTGAATTATAACCAACGGGTGAATAAACATCTTGTTGAATTAACAGCTAAATTAATAAGTTGCTGAAAAATTATAGAATGGTATCCTGCCCAGCTTAGTAGATCATTTTGGAGATTCAATTTTTGGATGTATAGATCTAACATGGAATAAATTGAATCTTTTATTTATATATAGTTCAATAATTAAAACCAACAAAAGTTAACAGAATAACTGTTATGAATTTCTGATTTATTTCTCAACGTGAAGAATGGTGTCAAAACTGGAGGATTAAAATAAATTCCAATAAATCCCGTCAAATTACCTTCACTCTTCGCCGTAAACCTATGACTTCCTGTCCTACAGTATCCTTCAACAATAGCTCTCTTATCCCTGTCGAACAAATCCGATACTTAGGACTCCACCTTGACAAACGACTCACTTGGAACCCCCATACCAGACTGAAACGACAAGAAACTGCTCGACGTTTCCGCTTACTCCAACACTTACTAGACAAACGCTCTAAACTTCCCATTAATTACAAACGACTCGTATACATGACTATAATAAGACCTATTTGGACTTATGGAGTTGAACTGTGGGGCTCCACTAAACTATCAAATTCCTCTCATATCCAATCTTTACAATCCAAAATCCTTCGTAAAATCCTCAATGCTCCTTACTTTGTCACAAATAAAATAATTCATAAAGACCTCAATGTTCCATATGTTTCCGATTTGGCCGAATCTAGATACCTATCCATCCATAATAAACTTCATAACCATCCGAATCCTCTCGTTTCTAACCTTGCTTCGTCTTCGATTCCTGATAACCCTCCGAGGCGTCTGAAAAGAAGATGGCCTCGTGATCTCCTCATCTAGACAAACTATTAGAGTGCTACCAATGGGTAGTTTCTCAACAAGCGTTTTTCATGTTGTTTTATTCCTCTGTACACATTTACTTGATGTATTCATACTAATATAGTTGTAAATATCATAATAAAAGTTAAAAAAAAATATATATCTCAACGTAGGGTTTCGTTTAGAGCAGATTACATTTTTTATTTTATTAGCATTTCAATTTTTTAAGCCTGGAAAACGTAGTTGGGATACCTAAACTTTTATTGCAAAATTATTGAGTTATAGTATACTAAAATAAAATAAAATAAATTAAAAAAATAAAATATTCCTTTTTTTTCCCTGTTTGAAAACAGTCCTATATTGAGCTAACTAACATAATCAGTGACCGGAAGGTTGTAAGATAAAGGCTAGTTTATTTAGGTTCCGTCGGAGAAGTGGGGGAGGAGAAAAGAGAAGCACATTTTAAAGCTTCCAAATCTATTTTCGTAGATCACACGAAACGTTGGATCTAAAGATGTTTAGGACAAAGGTTATTTTCTTAAACAAGAAACCTAAGCAAGAAGAAAATATTGCAATATGTTGTACTAACTTAGATCAGAAGGAAATCTAACTCCCTAGCAAATGAAAAGGCTTTCAAAGAAGCTATGTTTATAAAAATTAAAAAATAAATAAATATATTAATGAAAGCAGAAAACGATATACATGGTATTATCGGCGTATTGCTACTACGAGTACTTACGTGCTTCTTACGAGTTTTAGGACTCTATTATTAGAAATAAATAAATAATGAGGCAACCTTTCGCCAATTTTGGCATCATCAGGGCTAAAGAACACATATTACGTTGAATCTTAAATCAAGTAATTTCATTGCAAATATTATATGTAATGGAAAGATCTGTTATATTGATTTTCATGGTTTCATGGTTTCTGTTCTAGTAGTACTCTGATATGTATTGAACATTCGTTAATTACAATTAGGAAAATCGATCCTACAGTTAAAAAAAATGTTATTGTTGTTAAAAGCTATAACTAAATTTAATTATAAAATTTTCAATAAATTTGTAAACACTCTATTTTTAATTTTACTCGATTTTCATAAGTAAAAGTTATTCAAACTGAAAAAAAATTAACCTAGGTATTTTTTTTTCATTTAAGGATGTTTTTAATTGCTTTAAGATTGATTCGATAAGTAAAAGATTCAATAGGTATTTTTACCCTAAAGACTTTCGTTGAATTCTCACGTAGCCCGAGCAAAACTTTCAGCAAAATATATTATTGTTTTAACAGCAGGATTTAACAGGTTTTTTTTTTTATCATTACCTATCTTAGGAAGATGCCTGACATAATTCGTTATTCATCTGACAATTAAACTCCAAACATTACACTTTAATACGATTTCCATCGATGTGGTAATTGATTAAATATAATGACAAGTAGCGGAAGGGGAGGATTAAAACCGTTAAACTGACATAAGCGGGAGACCAAACTGTTGGTTACCATCCGAGCACACAAATATTTAACCAAGGAAATACCTCAGCTAACATATTCCCTTTGATGGCAGTCACCTATTAATAATAAAACTGCTATCAAGGGAGCTAGACAAAGAGCCACTTCTCTGTCGACATAGCATTGCGCTTGTTAAGTATTCTTTTCGTATATTAGCTATCAGCAAATAACATAGCTACTTATTGAATGTGTGAAAGGTTAGTTACTCTCTTTACTTATGTGGAATGAGACATGGGCTCGGATAACACTGGCCAACGAAAAAAATGTTCATAAAAACATTTCAAACCAATTAACCTAAACCTCATATACCTATATTTTTGGAAGTTAAAATCATACTAGATATGGAATAAGATTTTTTATTTTCTCACAATTTAACATCGAATAGGCATATAATTCAAAATAGTGAAAAAATATTACATAAAGATCATAGTTTTGTTTTTTATTTATTTAATATGTATATAACTAAAATAGAAAGCCCGAAAAAGAAGAGGAGAAGATGGAGATGAAAATTATTCTGGATGGAAGAGGAGAACCAGTCGAGAAGGGACTCTGAAAGGGACAGTCTAAGGATGTTTCTTGAAGGAGAAGCATTGTTGTGAAAGACTCTGGGAAAAACAGTCTGTTGAGGCAACTTTCTTGGTGATAGTGTACAGAGGAGAATGCAGTTGGAGATTCTTGGAAGAAGTGGAAAAAATAGTTGCAGAGGAGACTAAGGAAATAGTCGAGAGGACATCAGCACCAGGAACACGAAAAGGAAAGTTCTTGACGATTTCGTGATATCTCCACTAACAGACAAGTCACAGGATCTACAAGGGAGAAGGGGACTTTCGGGCAGAAGCCTCCCCCTAAACATTGAAATGTAACCATGTCCTATAGTAAAACATATTTAAATAATCCTCTTTTAAAGTATTAGTGTTCGTGGAATTACATTTAAAAGGACTTCAAGAATCACTTTAAACACATTTCATATAGGTAATTAGTATCTTTCTTTTTTTCCAAAGTAATTATCGATATATACATAAAAAAAAGCTTTCCCCCCCTCCAACAAAAACTAATCCTGGATCCGCTAGTGAGATAAGTCATAGTATTTATTTAAATCTTTCCTTTGTATAAGGTATACGAAATGAAGTTAAATATACTTTACGTATGCCAAAAATATACATGCATTTAATTTAACAGAACCTCAAATATTATACAAAGAATCAAATAGTACACACAGAAAAATAATAGAATCTATATCCATCACAAAACATAATAATAAAGCAATAAATTATAAAACAGGTGCATTTCTTGTCTAATGATAGGAGATAATAAAGTGGATCCCGAAACGTATAAAAAAAAAAAAAAAAATTTTTTTGGGAGAGTAAACTATTATTTAACTTTATTTCGTATATCTTAGATAAATAAACTTCTTTAGGACTTATGAAGAAATTTGTAATTCTGTGTTGGCAATAGATAAA